GACTCAACTCGATCGAGCTCTTGGTCGAGCTCATCAACTCGATCGAGCTCTTGGTCGAGCTCCCTTGCATCTGCTTGTTCTTGTTAATTTCTTGCATTTAGCTGCTTTCTTTTACTTTCTGCATTGCATTTCCGTTATATTAGGTTGTTTAGTTGTTACATCCATCTTCATTTATCATTTGGCTTGAATTGCATAGTTCCTGCATAGTTCTATAGAGTAATCAGCTTCCCATTTGGATTGACACCTCAAATGCTACAATGACATGAGTAGCTGGATTTGAGTAATTGATAGTAAAATCCTGTTATCAATTTGGCGCCGTTGCCGATTGGGAATTGTTTTGATTGCATTTAGAATTCCAGTAGCTTGCAAGATCAAGTTCTTGTGTTTGTTCATCTCTCAAGGAGATGATGAACTTTTTCCTTTTTGTTGTTACTAACTTGTGTTCTCTTATTCTCTTGTGCTTTCCAAGGTACCAAACTAAGAAGAAGAGAAATGGGAAGACAAGATCATGTGAGGTGTTTGAGATGGACAGCTACAAGAGCATTCCTCTAGCTCCACAACCTCCAGAATTGGTCCAAACTCCTAACCAAGCACAAGTGGCCACGCCCACAGTTGGAGATTGTGATGTTCCTCATTATGATGGGTTTAGTTATGGAATCCATCCTCCACCCATTGAAGCCCACGCCTATGAGATCAAGCCAAGTTTGATAAGGTTGATTCAAAGCTCTAAGTTCTTGGGAAATGGATTGGAGAATCCTTGTGATCACTTGGACTACTTTGAGAGGTTGTGTAGCACGTTTAGGATCTGTGGTGTGCCTGAAGATAGTATCAAGCTCATCTTGTTTCCATTCTCACTTGGAGAAAAGGCAAGCCAATGGGAGAGAGCCATACCATCTCATTTGGTCAATTCTTGGGATGATTGCAAGAGAGTCTTCCTTCTAAGGTTCTATCCCATACAAAGAACACACCAAATGAGGAGAAACATCTTGAGCTTCCAACAAGGCAGCCATGAAACCTTTCATGAGGCATGGGAAAGGTTGAGAGGATACACTAGGAATTGTCCACATCATAGGTTTACAAGAGAAGCTATACTTAGCCATTTCTATTGGGGAGTTGCAAAGGAGCAGAAATGGACATTGGATGTAGCTAGCAAAGGAAGTTTTCTAAACCTCACCATAGAGAAGGAGAGCTACTTGTTGACAACTTGTCCAGGAGTGAGGAAAGCTACAATGAAAGCCATGATCCAATCCCCAAAGAGAGTTTGTATGAAGACTTCAAGTGGACAGCTTTGCAAGATAAGTTGGATAGATTGGAAAAGCTCCTAAGTGTGCAAGAAAGAGGACTTTGTTTGGATCTTGAGCAGCACCAAGAGGAAGCCAATTTCGTGGTCCAGAATGGGAATCCAACCAAAAGAGTATGTCTCTCAATCATTGGTCCAACCATGGAGTTCAAGGAATTCAACAAAGCTACCAAGAGAACCATGAGCCTTCTCAGATCTCTAATAATGCCTCTGTTGAGGTTAATGAAGAAATGACACCACTTGGTTATAATGGAAAACTTGGTGAACCCCAGCATGAAGAAGAGGCTAAGGACGTGGGCACAGCTCAAGACTATGGTTTGGAATCCATCCAATGGGCTCATGAAGAAGAGAGTGATCTTGAGGAGGTTCAAGAGGATGCATTTTCTCTCAATGAAAAATGTGTAAGCTATTTCTTCTTTCCCTCATTGGAGATTAAGGAGAATAGTTTTGCTGAACGTGATGAGGGTGCAGTGGTGAAGAAAACTAATCAGAAAAAGCTTCATGAGTGTGTCAAAGGCGTCCTAGATGGAGAGTGTCTACAAAGCTTGTTTGGTGAGCACATGGAAAGTGCTCAAGAGAAGGACGTGGGTAGAGCCACAAGGGCTAATCTGGAAACCACAAGGAAGATGAAAGAACCCCAACCTCTCTCCATTGATCCATCTCCCAACAAACTAAGTTTGATCCCTCTAAGGTTTAAGGATGGGAAGATTGAGTACAAGATCAAGTGCAAGGGAAAGTCTAAACCCTTTTCCAGTATCAATGCCTTGGTCAGTCCTGAGCTTCAAAAAGATCAAACCAAGCTCAAGGAGCTCCTATCTTCAGTCCTTACTGTCACCTTTGATGGTGGGACCGCTCTCATTCATGCCTAAAAGGTAAAAGGTCAAGCTATGGACCTAAAACAAGCTCACTTGGGAGGAATTCCCATGTCTATCTTGTATATAGCTCTTTCATTTAAGTTCTTTGTAGTTTTTTGTCTAAGTCTTGCAGGAGTTAGTTCAAAAGGGAAGCTATTCTGACTCGAGCCACAGACTCGATCGAGCCCAATCCACCACACCTATTTTGGCTCGATTGATGCCGTTATGATGCTATTGTCTCCTGCCCTCTCCAACTCATGACCTTGCTTCCCAGTTCTTTGGGGAGCACTAAGGTATCAAACTTCCCTTGTACATACCATCTCATTTTCATGCATTTTTCTTTGTTTTTCCCTCTTGAATCTTTCTTTGAACTTCTTTCACACAAGGGACTGTGTGATTTAAGTTTGGGGGAGGGTTCAAGAGATGATTTAACCTTGTTTATTTTGTTCTTAGTTTTTCATCTATTTGCATAGAAAAACAAAAAATCATAAAATTTTCAAAAAATCCAAAAATATTTTCATCTTTTTGCATTCATATTGTTAGAATTGTTTAGGATTGCATCATTCACCTCTTTTTAGCATTGTTGATTTGATTTGAAAACTTGTTCATCATTTGCGATTTCTTAAGTGCCCTATTTCTAGATTCTTTTGTGCATTAGGGTGAGATTGATTGAGCAACAAGAACCATGTTTATCTTGATCATATCACTGCATGCACATCTCATTCAACCATTGCTGTGATTTGATGCATTTCCCTATCTATTTGAACCATAACTTGATCTTTAATTACCAATGCTTGCATTTGATTTCAACTCATGGCTACCACATACATATCTGGACATTCTTTACCTATTTTCATATCCCTCTTGCTTGTCCAGATAGCTGATCTCCATCTTTGAGACAGTTACCACACCTTAAACCTAAGCCTTTTTCATTTCAAACCCCATATTATCTCTTGTGCGATTGTGAGAACCTTTCTTGGCTTTGCTTAGCATAAGGTGTTGTGTTTAAACCGGCAGGGGCAGTAGTTCTAGTTGTCTAGTTCTCTTGGGATTGTTTTCAGGCTAAGTTTGGGGGTGCCAACTCGAGCTCGATCGAGTTGGGTGTAAAAACCAGAAAAGTGGTAAAAGTTGGGAAAATCCAAAGGAAAAAGAGTTTAGTTAAGTCCAGGGAGTTGGCAGTGTTAAAAAAGGGTCTAGTAAAGGTTTGGGAAGTTAAAAAAAGAAAGTAAAAGGGTTCTAAGTAGAAAGAAAAGAAGGCAAAGCCTCAAGTGTCAAAAGAAAAGAAAAGTTCCCTAAGTGTTTAGAAAATCCCAAACCGCTAGATGTTACCTCAAGAAGCCTCTCCCTAGGATGTTCTTAAAAGAAAAGTGAGCAAAGCTCCTCAGTTTCAAAGGCGAAATGCCAAAAAGGGTAGTTAGGATTTTGTTCTAAAAAGCTCTAAGTGTTGAACTCGATCGAGTTAGGATTAGGCGGCTCGAGTTGCTGTCTTGCATCATCTTTGGTTCTAACACTTAGCCTTCTGCCAAAGCAAAGCCACTTTCTTGAGAGATCCCTGTTACTAAACCACCATACACTCAAAAGAGACCCTCTTTGTCTCTTAACCCATAAACCCTTGAAACCAAATGAGTTGATTGATCTTGCATGTTTTTGGTTCACTGTTTTTGCTTAATGAATGTTAAAGGGATTTGCTGATTTGAATGCATTGTTTGAGTGACTGTGAAGTGGGATTGATGTTGATAAGCATGGTTAAATCTTAATGAATATCTCTCACCTTGTTGCATTCTAGAATCTCTAAGTTGGACATTTAGCAAATCGCTTTTGAGGACATGTTTTTAAAGGTTGAATCAACTTGTTTTCAAACCTCATCTCTTTCTTGTTCTATTTGTTTGCTTGAGGGCAAGCAAAGGTCAAGTTTGGGGGTGTTGATGTACTTGCATTTTACATGGTTTTAGCCCTTCTTTTATGCATCTTTTGCATAGTTTCATTCACCCAAAGCATCATTTCTTGATGTTTTCTCTTCTTTTGCATACATAGTAGTTTTAGGCTTGCATTTGCATACATATGCACGTTTGATGTCTTAATCAGGTCATTTGGAGCTAATTGGAACATTGCCTATCACTGGAGACTAGTTGAGGAAGGAAAGACTCTGTCTGCCCCATGTACGGACCCGCACTCGGTCGAGCTAGTGAGATGCGTCCGAAGTATCGTATCAAATGAAGGGTTTACACTCCGATTCAGCCTCTGACTTCTTCTTGGAAGTTGTGGATAATTGAGTTAGCTTTCGTCTGGAGGTGGTTTCATGTCATTCGGACCAGCGGTTCAGAAGATACGACGATATTGGTTGGACTCGACCCACCAGCTCGACCGGCCAGTTTCCAACTCGATCGAGCTGCTTTTCCAGGAGTCAAAGTCAAACCCGAAAAATGTTGCTTCCCTTTGACTCCCCTTTGACCCTAAACCTAGTTTGCTTTACTATAAATGGCATTGAGCCACGAATTAAACACAGCTTTGGCTCAACTTTTAATTAATCTTGTATTTGCATTTCCCTTTTTACTTTTTAGCCTCTCTTTGTGTTCTTGAGCTCTTGCTCATAGAACCCTAGATCTAGGCTTGTTATTGTGTTTTTGCACTTGCTTATTTCAATAAAAGTTGTTTATCTTTATCTCCTCTATCTTTTGATGTCTATTTCATTGCATTTGGTTGTTTATTTCATCATGTGTAGTGAGTAGTTCCTTTAGGGCTTAAGATGGGATAGGTTAGAGGTTGTTTATGCTTAATCCTTCTTGCTTATGTTCTTAATCTAGAAATCTCTCTCTTTTGGACAAACCTTAAGGCTACATGACCACTATCCCTGGCTTGTATGTCCATAGGCGATTCTCCACATGGAAGTGATGGAAATCGTTGGAAAAGGTCCACTAAGAGCTCCAATAACTCTTGCTCTCGAAATGGAGTTCATAGGGGTTGGATGGATTAGTTTGAGCAATGATCCTATGGCCTCCAAGGCTTGATTCTCACTGGCTAACCCCCTGTTTCTGAGATCAAGTCTTGGTTGATAGCTTTCACCTTGGGAAAGGGTTAGCTAGGCATTGAGAAGCTCAATATCAAGAGATACCTTGATACAAGTTGTTTAAGAGCAAGACTGATTAAGTATAGCCTCCCTTTAGCTGCAAAACCCTGTCTTTAACCCTAATCTTCGCATTAGCATCTTAAAGTTTGCACCTTTATCGCTTTTCATTGCATTTCCTCTGTTTTTACTCGACCCTCAACTCGATCGAGCTCACCAACTCGACCCTCAACTCGATCGAGCTCATCAACTCGATCGAGCTCTTGGTCGAGCTCATCAACTCGATCGAGCTCTTGGTCGAGCTCCCTTGCATCTGCTTGTTCTTGTTAATTTCTTGCATTTAGCTGCTTTCTTTTACTTTCTGCATTGCATTTCGTTATATTAGGTTGTTTAGTTGTTACATCCCTCTTTTAATCATTTGGCTTGAATTGCATAGTTCCTGCATAGTTCTATAGAGTAATCAGCTTCCCATTTGGATTGACACCTCAAATACTACAATGACATGAGTAGCTCGATTTGAGTAATTGATAGTAAAATCTTGTTATCAACTCCTCAAAGTAATGGCAATCAGGCTCGTCCAAATCCTCATCCACTTGGGCTCGGTCCTCAGCTCGAGCCTCAACTCGATCGAGTTCAGGCTCCTCTTCTCGCAAATCATCTTCATGCCCAACCAATGTGTGTAATGGGGGCTGACGTCAATGTGGTTGCGTTCTACAACTGTTGTGAAGCTTGGGTTGGGCAAGAGCATCTTGGAAGGGCCAGCCGTGGGGTGTGTGAACTTGAATTGGTATTTCTCATTCACTACCATTTGATCAATGAGGAGGTTGGTCTTGCAAAACTTGATGTCCATCCAGCCAGGCTCAGTAGCCTTCTTATCAGTTGGGTTCACGCCGGCAGCACACAAGATAGGTGTGATGAGACCTCCAACACTTAGCTTTCTTCCTTGTTGAAATCAAATGTTTTATGCCGTGGTCTTTTAGGTGAGGAGGTGATCCAGGAAGGGCATGAGATTTCCAGTGTCTGATCCTCTTCCCATCGCTTGTGTGTGAGAGAATGGGCTTGATTCCCTTATCAAGAAGCTTGAGCTCTCCCTCTTTTATGGTGCCGGTTGCCTTCCTTGCAAAGAAGGTGTTGGCGAGTGCCTTGTGCACATACCTGATGTACTTCTTTTGCATAGTTTTAGCTCCATTTGCATCATATCTTGTTCCTTTTCTCTTCTTATGCATTCATGTTAGTTTTAGGTTGCATTTGCATACATATGCATGTTTGGTCCTTTGAAATAGGTCTTTTGGAGCATTCTGGAGCATATGGGACATAAGGAGCATGGAGGGACTTGGCACATGGAAGCAGCTCAACTGGATACGCAAAGGAAGAAGGGAGAAGCCATCTTGAAGACCAGCTCGACCGTCTACTCGACCAACCGGTCGAGTTCCTCAACTCGACCGGCCAAGCTTCAACTCGATCGAGCTGAGAAGTCAAAGTCAAACCCGAAAAATGTTGCTTCCCCCTTGACTTTCCTTTGACCCTAAACCTAATCCTCTTGTATTTAAAGGCTCTAAGCCACGAAAAAACCACCAAGCTTTAGATTATTTTGTTTTAGTTTCTTTTAATTTATTGTCTTTTACTTTTTAGAGATCTAATCCCATCTTTGTGTTCTTGAAGCTCTTGCTTCTTGAATCCTAGATCCTGGATAATCTCTTTGTATTTGCACTTGCTTATTTCAATAAAAGTTGTTTAATTTCATCTCCTCTTTCTTATGATGTCTCTTTTATTGCATTTGCTTGTGTTTACATTCATGTGTAGTGAGTAGTTACCCATTAGGGTTTGAGATGGGATAGATTAGAGGTTTCATATGCTTAATCCTTCTAGCTTATGGTCTTAATCTAGATTCTCTCTCTTTTGGATAGATCTTAAGGCTACATGACCACTACCCCTGGCTTGTAAGTCCTTAGGCGACTCCCCACACGAAAGTGATGGCATTCGCTGGAAAAGATCCACTAAGAGCTCCAATATCTCTTGCTCTAGACATAGAGGTCTAAGGGGTTGGATGGATTAGTTTGGGCAATGATCCTATAGCCTCCAAGGTTTGATTCTCACTGGCTAACCCCCTGTTTCTGAGATCATTCCTTGGTTGATAGCCTCCACCTTGGGAAAGGGTTGGCTAGGCATTGAGAAGCCCAATATCAAGAGAAGCCTTGATACAAGGAGTTTTAAGAGCTAGATTGATTAAGTGTAGATTCCTTTGATTGCAAAACCCTGTCTTGAACCCTAATTCTCTCTTTATCTTGTTAAAGTCGTCACCTTTAGCTTTTTTGTCTCAACTCGTCCCTAAACTCGATCGAGCTGGTACTTTGCTCTGACTCGACTCGAGCTCTTGGTCGAGCTGACACTTCACTGCTTTGTTTACTTTTATTGCACTGCTTTTCATTTTTTTAGGTTGTTAGTGTTACTTCAAATCTTTAACTGCTTGCTTGACTTCCTGGTTGTTTCATATTCTCATAGAGTGACAAGTTTCCCATTTTGGATTGATAACCCTTTGTACTACATCAACTATCATGGTTAAAGGGAATTGTTGACTGTGTTTGTGTTTGCATCTTACCACCTCATCATATACCACTGTTGCATTCCACTCATCTCATTTCATATCTTTTCACATCCACACACAAATCCTATCATCAATTTGGCGCCGTTGCCGATTTGGGAATATTTTTGTTGCATTTGAGTTTCAAACACACTTGGACGATCAAGCTATACCACCCCTGTTCTATTGTACTGCTGGGTTTTTGTCTCTTTTTGCAGGTGTATGCGAACTCGATCGAGTCGGTCTACAGAAGACTTGGTCGAGCTAGACATTACAACGGGTAGAAAGAGGGTTCAGAGGTCACAGAGGGTACAAGAGGAACCTGAGGTGCTTGTTGCTGATACAATGGATGTACCAGAGGGGAATGGAAACCCTTTGGGAATGGACTCGGTCGAGCTAGGCAAACTCGACCGATTGGTCAAGGAGATGCTCCAAACCGCCACCAACAGAGACAAGGGATTGTTCCACCACCAGTGCAGAACCACAACTTTGAGATCAAGCTGGGAATGATCAACCTTGTCCAGAACAAGATGTTCCATGGATTGCCAAGTGAAGACCCCATTGACCACCTTGATGAGTTTGATAGGCTTTGTGATTTGACAAAGATCAATGGTGTCTCTGAAGATGCCATCAAGCTGAGACTCTTTCCTATGTCTCTAGCTGACAAAGCTCACCAATGGGAGAAGAGCTTGCCCCATGGCACAATCACCACTTGGGATGAATGCAAGAAGGCCTTTCTTGCTAAGTTTTTCTCCACCGGTCGCACAGCCAAGCTTAGAGGAGAGATATCCAGCTTCATCCAGCGAAACAATGAGACATTCGCAGAGGCTTGGGAGAGGTTCAAAGGCTACACAAGTCAGTGCCCACACCATGGATTCAACAATGAATCACTACTCTCCACTCTTTATAGAGGATGCTTGCCTAGGTATAGGGAGATGCTAGACACAGCTAGCAATGGGAACTTCCTCAACCAGGATGTAGATGATGGCTGGCAACTTGTGGAGAACATAGCTAACTCAAATGGAAGCTATGGAGAAGAGTATGATCGCACCAACCGGAGCTCGACCCACCACTCGATCGAGTCAGACGAAAAGTTGAGAAAAGATGTTAAGGCATTGAATGAGAAGTTGGATAAGCTGATCCTAGCTCAGTCCACAATGAAGAAAGTCAACTTTGTGTCTGCTGAGGAGATGGAACCAGTCCAAGAAGGGGAGGATACACAATTTGCTGAGGTGTGCTACATGAGCAATGGGCAAGGAGGTTACAACAAAGGATACTATAATTACAAGTCCAACCCTGCCATGTCATACCGCAACACTGATGTTGCTAACCCTCAGGACCAAGTCTATCCTCAACAACAAGCAGCTCGATCGAGTCAAGGCCACAACATGGGTATGGTCAAAAGAACAATTACCAAGGACCACAAGGCACTTTCCCTGGACAACAAATGAATATCCCACCAGGCTTCCCCCACCAACCGCCCCAGCCTGCACCTTCACAAGAGAATGAGCTCAAGGCAATGCTAAAGCAACTACTTCAAGGGCAAGCTGATGGGGTAGTGGACACAAGCAAGAAGCTAGCTGAAATAAACTCTAAGATCGAGAACCTCAACACAAGGGTTTACTCTCTGGAGAATCATGCTTCTTCTGTTGCTGCTGCTACAAAGCAAGGACAACTACCTGGTAAAGCTATTCAGAACCCCAAGGAACAGTGCAAGGTCATCTTCACTCAAGAAGGACTTGTTGAAGAAGAGGATCAAGAAAGGGTCATTGAAGATTTTTGTTTACTGCTGAATGATGAAGAGATTGTTGCTGCTGAGGCTCCTGGAGTCCAGATTGATCAACCAGAAGTGCATGCACCTACTGTGGCCATTCACACTTCACCAGTTGAGCTCGCACGACAAGCTCGATCGGCAGCTCGATCGAGTCCAACTCTAGCTCGATCGAGTCCGACCTCTTCTGTCCGACAGCCTGTTTTGCTTGATCCTTACAACCGGTTGCCGCTTCCTCGTCTCGCCTACTTAGTCAAGGTCACAAGGAAGTGATTCACAAGTTCAGAAGAGATCTCAGTGGGATTGGAATTGAGTTGCCTCCTATGGATAGCATGAGTGAGGCATTTGATCAAATGCAAATGGTCAAGGATGTTCTAGCCAACAGTGATAAAGTTTCAGAGGTCCTACAAGAGTCTACTCATCAGTTCAACCTGCTTACTTCACCCACCTTCCTACCAAAGGTCAAGGATCAAGGGAAATTCACTCTCCCTTGCACACTTGGGCATCTTGAGATTGACAATGCCTTAGTGGATTCTGGAGCAAGCATCAATCTGATCTCTCTCTCCATGGCAGAGAAGCTAGGCATAGCTGGAGGCATAGCAAGGAACCAAGAGTTGGGAAGGATAAGGATGAGAGAGGACCAAGGATTGAGAAGCCACGTCTTGAGAGGGCTAGAGTTGAGAAACCACGTTCTGAGAGACCACGAGCTGATAGACTTGTTCAAGCCCCTTGTGTGCTTGATGAAGAAAGCCTTCAAGCTTTGTTTGATGAGCCACTAGGAAGGGCTCTAAAAGAAGGGGAGGATACAGCCTCTAAGGCAAAACCAGGTGATAAAAGAAAGGATCCACCAGCTCAGGCCCCTTCAGTCAAGCCATCTCAGCTCACAATGACCTTGTTCCCCACCAAGTTTGAAAATGGGAAGATTGAGTACAAAATAAGGTACAAGGGGAGATCAAGGCCATTCTCTAGAGCCAAGGCCTTGGTGACTTCAGAACAGTCCAGGGACCCAACCAAGCTAAAAGAGCTTCTGTCTCAAGTCCTCACTTGAGAGGAAGTCCCATGTTTATCCTTGTACATACTCTATTTATGCAATTTCTATCTATCTTTATGTTTTTAACCTTTGAATAAGCAAAGTTCAAGTTTGGGGGTGTTGATGTACTTGCATTTTACATAGTTTTAGCACATCTTTTATGCATCTTTTGCATAGTTTTAGCTTCCATTTGCATCATATCTTGTTCCTTTTCTCTTCTTATGCATTCATGTTAGTTTTAGGTTGCATTTGCATACATATGCATGTTTGGTCCTTTGAAATAGGTCTTTTGGAGCATTCTGGAGCATATGGGACATAAGGAGCATGGAGGGACTTGGCACATGGAAGCAGCTCAACTGGATACGCAAAGGAAGAAGGGAGAAGCCATCTTGAAGACCAGCTCGACCGTCTACTCGACCGGCCAAGCTTCAACTCGATCGAGCTGAGAAGTCAACAGTCAAACCCGAAAAATGTTGCTTCCCCCTTGACTTTCCTTTGACCCTAAACCTAATCCTCTTGTATTTAAAGGCTCTAAGCCACGAAAAAACCACCAAGCTTTAGATTATTTTGTTTTAGTTTCTTTTAATTTATTGTACTTTTACTTTTTAGAGATCTAATCCCATCTTTGTGTTCTTGAAGCTCTTGCTTCTTGAATCCTAGATCCTGGATAATCTCTCTTGTATTTGCACTTGCTTATTTCAATAAAAGTTGTTTAATTTCATCTCCTCTTTCTTATGATGTCTCTTTTATTGCATTTGCTTGTGTTTACATTCATGTGTAGTGAGTAGTTACCCATTGGGGTTTGAGATGGGATAGATTAGAGGTTTCATATGCTTAATCCTTCTAGCTTATGGTCTTAATCTAGATTCTCTCTCTTTTGGATAGATCTTAAGGCTACATGACCACTACCCCTGGCTTGTAAGTCCTTAGGCGACTCCCCACACGAAAGTGATGGCATTCGCTGGAAAAGATCCACTAAGAGCTCCAATATCTCTTGCTCTAGACATAGAGGTCTAAGGGGTTGGATGGATTAGTTTGGGCAATGATCCTATAGCCTCCAAGGTTTGATTCTCACTGGCTAACCCCCTGTTTCTGAGATCATTCCTTGGTTGATAGCCTCCACCTTGGGAAAGGGTTGGCTAGGCATTGAGAAGCCCAATATCAAGAGAAGCCTTGATACAAGGAGTTTTAAGAGCTAGATTGATTAAGTGTAGATTCCTTTGATTGCAAAACCCTGTCTTGAACCCTAATTCTCTCTTTATCTTGTTAAAGTCGTCACCTTTAGCTTTGTTTGTCTCAACTCGTCCCTAAACTCGATCGAGCTGGTACTTTGCTCTGACTCGACTCGAGCTCTTGGTCGAGCTGACACTTCACTGCTTTGTTTACTTTTATTGCACTGCTTTTCATTTTATTTAGGTTGTTAGTGTTACTTCAAATCTTTAACTGCTTGCTTGACTTCCTGGTTGTTTCATATTCTCAAAGAGTGACAAGTTTCCCATTTTGGATTGATAACCCTTTGTACTACATCAACTATCATGGTTAAAGGGAATTGTTGACTGTGTTTGTGTTTGCATCTTACCACCTCATCATATACCACTGATTGCATTCCACTCATCTCATTTCATATCTTTTCACATCCACACACAAATCCTATCATCAATACCTCAGCACTGGACTCCTGATTTGAGCAGCCTTAGACCTTGAGGAGGAGTACTCTCCCTCAGCAATTGTGGCCCAAACACTTTGGAGCTCACTTTCCTTGAAGTCCCATTGAGTCCCTTCTCCATAGTTGAAGCCAAACAAGATCTCCAACTGCCTAAAAGTGACCATCCTCTTGACTCCATTAGCCAAGAATGTGATCCACCCCAATCCTTGATCCAAGTCAGCTCGATCGAGCTCATCATACTCGTGGTACCTCATCGAAGCCAAGAACTCACAAGTGAGCTCCTTGTATGATTCCATGCATGAGAGAAGAACCTCCCCAAGTGCATGTTCTTGAGTACCAACTCCACATCATCAAAGATTCCAAGGGCCTTCATAGTTTTGTCATGAGGGTACTTGGTTTCCAAAAATCCATAGAGAGAAGAGCATTGTAGTGCTCTTGAAACATGGGGAGTTCATCCTCCTCTTCTTGTGGCTCAGCTTCCTCCATTGGCACATTCTCATTGCTCTCATACTCACTCCCATCAATCTCTTGATTAACCTCTTCCCCTTCTTCACTTAGAGAGTCATCACTTTCTTCTCTCCCAATGTTCACCCCAATCTCAAACTCTCCCAATTTGCTCTCACTACTAATGGGATCATTCCTTCTCTTGGTCCTTCTCTCTTCCCTCAACCTCTCAATCCCTTCCACATCCTCCTTGCTCATTCCCTTAAGCATTCTCCTTGCACCTCTCGTTATCTCCTCTTTCCAAGAGTTGCCTTGCTTCCTTCACCTCTCAACATCTTAAACTTGTTGCTTCTCAAAGTTGAGTCCCTGAAATTCATCAAAAACCCAAAGAATTAGAATTGTTGATCGATTCGGTCAACTCGACACCCAACTCGATCGAGTCAAAAAACTCGAGTGACAAACTCGATCGAGCTAGTGAAAACAGAGTAAAACCGAATCTAAATCAAGTGTTAAGAGCAGGATAGGATGTTAAACAATCAAATCAACCAAGAACATCAAGAACTTGGAACAATGAGCAATTCTAGTGAAGATTAAAGCATCCTAGCCAATACCAAATTCAAACTCAAGGTTTTAAGCACATGCAACAATTTTAATGGCAAAACAGAGGTGAGGTGAGGCAAGTTCACAAATTCTAATAGCAGAGGAAGAATATAGAAGCAATTATTCAAGAACAAGTCCACAAGGGACACATGCAATCAAAATTCAAGAAAACAATGCAATAAGAGATAGAGGAATCAAAGCTTAGACTTGAGGGTTTAGGGTTCATACCTTGCTTGGATGATGGTTGATCTAGAACAGTAGCTATAAACTAAAGCAAATTAAGAGATAGAGAACAAGGAAGAATCGCAAAAACTCAAGGATGAAGAGATTTTCGGATTTTCTTAGAGAGAAGGGAGAGAGATGAGTGATTTCAGAAAATTTTGAGTGTGGGAGAGAGAGGGGTTGTTCGATCGAGTTATGGGGAAAGGGAGTGTTTGAGATGTGTGGTTGAGGATTAAAAGAGGTTTAAAGAGGGGACAAAAGCTAGGGTTTTTCTGATCGATTTTGGGAAGTGGGGGACCAAAATTTAGATGTGGGACCCACTCCCTTGACCAAGGAAACGGTTAAAATTTGAAATTCAAAAATTTACCTTCCTCGGTCGAGTTGTGGAACTCGATCGAGTTACCTTTGTTTCTAGCTCGATCGAGCTGTCGGTCGAGCTGGCTTCTTTTCACCTAAACTTAACTTCCTGAAAGGTTAAAGACACAAAATACTAGATAGAAATTGCAAAAAAGATATGTACAAGGATAGTCATGGGACTTCCTCCCAAGTGAGCTTGTTTAAGGTCCCATAGCTTGACCTTTACCTCTTAGGCATTGGTTGAGCTAGTCCCACCATCAAGGGTGATAGTGAGGACTTGAGACAGAAGCTCCTTTAGCTTGGTTGGATCCCTGGACTGCTCTGAAGTGACCAAGGCCTTGGCTCTAGAGAATGGTCTTGATCTCCCCTTGTACCTTATCTTGTACTCAATCTTCCCATTTTCAAACTTGGTGGGGAACAAGGTCATAGTGAGCTGAGATGGCTTGGTGAGGAAACCTGAGCTGGTGGGTCCTTTCTTTTCTCTCCCACAAGTGCCTTTGAGGCTGCATCCTCCCCTTCTTTTGAGCGCTTCCTAGTGGCTCATCAAACAAAGCTTGGAAGGCTTTCCTTCATCAAGCACACAAGGCTTGAACAAGTCATCAGCTCTGGCCTATCAGATCGTGGTCTCTCAACTCTTGGCCTCTCAAGGCGTGGTTTCTCAATCCTTGGTCCCTTATCAACTCTTTGATCCTTCTCAACCTTATCTCTTTATCTCACAACTCTTGGTTCTTTGTCAACCCTTTTCCTTCACAACCTTTGGCAACTTCATGAGTCTTGGAACTGAGAGGATGCTTTCAATTGTGGCACAAAAGTCTGAACCTCTAGGCTGCAAGCGATATGACACCAAACTATTCACCTTGTGAAGAATCACTTCTTGCTTGTGAAAGTCTATTGAAGCGCCAACTGTGCTAAGGAATGGGGTTCCCAATAGCAGAGGTAGATCCTTCTCTTCTTCCATCTCCATGACAGTGAGATCAGTTTGGATGATGCATTCTCCAATTTTCAAGTGATAGTTCTTGAACACACCAAGAGGAGACTTAGAAGTTGCATCTCCAAACATGATTGAAGTAGTAGGGCGCTGCAATGCTCCAGCAATGCCTAGCTTCTCTGCCATTGTGAGAGGAGATCAGATTGATGCTTGCACCAGAATCCACCAAGGCATTGTCAAGCTCAAGATGCCCAAGTGTGCAAGGGAGAGTGAATTTCCCTTGATCCTTCACCTTTGGTAAGAAAGTAGGTGAAGTAAGCAGGTTGATTTGGTGAGTAGATCCTCCAGAAGCTCTGAAACTTTATCACTGTTGGCCATAACATCTTGACCATTTCATTTGCTCAAATGCCTCACTCATGCTTTCCATAGAAGGCAACTCAATTCCAATCTCACTGAGGTCTCTTCTGAACTTGTGAATCACTTCCTTGTGGCCTTGACTAGTAGGCGAGACGAGGATGGGTCAACTGGTGGTAAGGATCAAGCAAAATCGGTTTGAGGACAGATGAGTCGACTCGATCGAGCTAGTCGACTCGATCGAGCTGCCGATCGAGCTTGTTGTGCGAGCTCAACTGGTGAAGTGTGAATGGCTACAGTAGCTGCACTTCTGGTTGATCAATCTGGACTCCAGGAGCCTCAGCAGCAACAATTCTCTCATTCAGCAGCAAACAAAACTCTTCCATGACTCTTTCTTGATCCTCTTCTTCATCAAGTCCTTCTTGAGTGAAGATGACCTTGCACTGTTCCTTGGGGTTCTGAATAGCTTTACCAGGTAGTTGTCCTTGCTTTGTAGCAGCAGCAACAGAAGAAGCATGATTCTCCAGAGAGTAAACTCTTGTGTTGAGGTTCTCGATCTTGGAGTTGATTTCAGCTAGCTTCTTGCTTGTGTCCACACCATCAGCTTGCCCTTGAAGCAGTTGTTTCAGCATAGCCTTGAGCTCATTCTCAGGTGTAGGTGCAGGCTGGGGTGGTTGGTGGGGAAAGCCAGGTGGTATGTGCATTTGCTGACCAGGAAAAGTCCCTTGGGGCCTTGGTAGTTGTTCTTTTGGACCATACCCATGTTGTGGGCTTGACTCGATCGAGCTTGCTGTTGTTGAGGATAGACCTGGTCCTGAGGGTTAGCAACATCAGTGTTTCGGTATGACATGGCAGGGTTGGACTTGTAATTATAGTATCCTTTGTTGTAACCTCCTTGCCCATTGCTCATGTAGCATACCTCAGCAAATTGTGTATCCTCCCCTTCTTGGACTGGTTCCATCTCTTCAGCAGACACAAAGTTGACTTTCTTCATTGTGGACTGAGCTAAGATAGCTTATCCAACTTCTCATTCAACCTTAACATCTTTTCTCAATTTCTCATCGACTCGATCGAGTGGTGGGTCGAGCTCCGGTTGGTGCGATCATACTCTTCTCCATAGCTTCCATTGAGTTTGCTATGTTTTCCACAAGCTGCCAGCCATCATCTACATCCTGATTGAGGAAGTTCCCATTGCTGGCTGTGTCTAACATCTCTCTATACCTTGCCAAGCAACCTCTATAGAGAGTAGAGAGCAATGATCATTGTTGAATCCATGATGTGGGCACTGACTTGTGTAGCCCTTGAACCTCTCCCAAGCCTCAGCAAAAGTCTCATTGTTCCTCTGATGAAGCTGATATCTCACTCCTTAGCTTGGCTGTGCGACCGGTGGAGAAAAACTTAGCAAGAAAGGCCTTCTTGCATTCATCCCAAGTGGTGATTGTGCCATGGGGCAAGCTCTTCTCCCATTGGTGAGCTTTGTCAGCTAGAGACATAGGAAAGAGTCTCAGCTTGATGGCATCTTCAGAGACACCATTGATCTTTGTCAAATCACAAAGCCTATCAAACTCATCAAGGTGGTCAATGGGGTCTTCACTTGGCAATCCATGGAACATCTTGTTCTGACAAGGTTGATCATTCCCAGCTTGATCTCAAAGTTGTGGTTCTGCACTGGTGGTGGAACAATCCCTTGTCTCTGTTGATGGCGGTTTGGAGCATCTCCTAGACCAATCGGTCGAGTTTGCCTAGCTCGACCGAGTCCATTACCCAAAGGGTTTCCATTCCCCTCTGGTACATCCATGGTATCAGTAACAAGCACCTCAGGTTCCTCTTGTACCCTCTGAGTTCCTCTGACTTCTCTTTCTACCCGTGTGAAATCTAGCTCGACCAAGTCTTCTGTTGACCGACTCGATCGAGTTCGCATACACCTGCAAAAAGAACAAAAACCCAGCAATACAAAGAACAGGGGTGGTATAGCTTGATCGTCCAAGTGTATTGAAACTCAAATGCAACAAAATTCAACCCAAATGGCAACGGCGCCAAATTGATGATAGGATTTGTGTGTGTGTGAATGAAATGATGTAAATGATATGAGGTGGAATGCAAACAGTGGTAAATGAAGATGATATGGTATGGTGCAATCACAATCAATCAATTCCTTCTTAACCATCATAGTCATTGAAGTATAAGAGGTTATCAATCCAAAAGGATATCTCCGTGATTTTATTATCCGGCTTTTCAGGATATCTCCGTGATTTTATTATCCGGATTCGGATCCGGACACCCCGGATATCCGGGTTTAGGGTCCGTGAAAAAATCGGATATCCAGATCTGATCCGAATCAAATTTTCTATTTATAAATATTATATTTTTATAAAATAAATAGATAAAATGATTAAATTATATATATAAAATTGTTTAGATTTATAAATTTGACCAAAACTAAAGATAAAAATGATATATTTACCAACTTTATAGGTTTATATGTTACAATTATTTTAAACTTTTAAAATCATCATGAAATCTTATTATAACTTAAAATAATTAATACTAAAATTATTAATATATAATATATTATCCCGGATCCGGATATCCATCGGATCCGTGATTTTATTATCCAGATTCGGATCAGGACACCCTGGATATCCGATTTTTCGGGGCGGATCAGATCAGATAACGGATTGGGTAACAGATCCTGGATAATATGCCCAGGCCTAGAACACATGTTTTTGTTATTTTTATCTATAATTTCGTTTATCTAATCCCAAACATCTAACAACAAAATAAAAATACAGAACATTAGAAAAATATGAGATGATCGAAGAACTGATAACACGAACATAGAACATTATTCAAATATTTGAAAATTTGACATAAACTCAAAATCAAAATCAAAATCTAATAAATTATTCTTAATAAAAATATACCTTTTGGTAAATTCTTAACCAGATTTTAGATCTCTTCTTCCATGCCATCAAAACTGCCTTTCAGATTTTTTTGTCTTACAGTGAAATAAAAAATGTAGAGAAAAATTTAGTGTGACTGTTATATAAACTAAAAACAAAATCTATATGTAGAAGAACAAAACATACCTTTGGTGAATCTTTCACCGGATTTGAGATATCTTCTTCCATGCCATCAAAAGTGTCAGCTATGATTTTTTGTCTTACGGCGGAAATGAAAACTGTGGAGAAAAATTTAGAGTTTCTGATTCTTATATGATACAGAAAAAAAACCTAGATGTTATAGAAATAGAACGACGTCGCATATGATATAAGTATATATCTTTAACAAAATAGTGTCATATTTTTATTAGAAATAAAATACTGATTTAAACCCCAAAAGTTTTAATGGGCCTCGGATTTTTTTTATGTTGTTTTTAGAGCTCTTTTCTTAAGCCGAAAGAATATCGTAATTATTAATTTTGTGTTGGATCCCAAATATTTCAGTCCCGAGCCTATAACCAGCTCCTGGCACTACAAGAAAACAGTCATTTTGCAATGACATTTTACAACGAATTTATTTCATCGCAAAATTATGTCAATTTGTCGCCGACATTACGACGAAACACGACATCGCTATAAATTCGTCGTAAATCGGGACGATAAGCAGTCATCGTAAATTCGTCATTAAATAGCACGTTGTTGCGGCGAATTAACAATGTTTATATGTTTTGTTGGTAAATCGTTTTAAAGTAATGAACCGTTTGGTCAATAACATGAGCTAATTGGGCATTCTTAAAACTACATGGATTTGTGAAATTTTGACTAATGGGTTTTAAGTCAATAACCTAGACATTACTACAATTACAAAAATTGGATGTTTGTGCTAAGAGATGTAGTGAAATGAACATAGGAGTTGTTCTAATTTTAACAAAGCTTGTTTTAGCTAGTCTCATAACTTCTCTTTTATTTTGTCAAATATGTTTTCGACATTAGTACACATACCTTAATTACTAGTTTCCCTTGGACTGAGTTTATACCAAATAATAGAAGATAGAACCTAAATAAAGCAATTGAAACTTTTAAAAGTGATGAGGAGACGCTCTTAGCAGTGCAAAACAAACGAACAAAACTGTACAAGCTGAAAGGCAACCATGAGACGAAACAAAGTACTTTGGAAACAAGAAATAGAATCGCCAAAGAGATATATATCACATCCTCTTCACATCAATGTCAAATATAAAATTTATACGAACAATATCAAGCATAAATGTTTTTAACCAATTAAAAAAAAAAAAGTAAAACACTCCAGAGAATCTCCAGACCGGAACCAAACAAAAACTCAGAAAACAAAAGCTTTCCTTGTTCCAACTATATAAGAAACTTTTGCTTCTTTTAAGTAACAATGATGAAATAGACAAGCTCTCTTAATCTACATGAAGTCGAAATCGTCCATGGCATCATAAGGACCAGCCACTAGATCGTCATCAGCCTTATCTACTTGAAGTTGTTTCTTCCTCCCACCTGAAGAATCAATGACAAACCCATTTAATGAATACAAAAAATGGATTCACACTAACAATTACACAAAGAACAAGAACAAGCAAATGAGAACATACCTGTTTTCTTTTTCCCAGCAGCAGCTTCTTTCTCAGCCTTAAGTTTCTCATTAGCAATCGCTGTAATGGAGGAAGCAACATCCTTCACATCTGCTGCCTTCATGTTGGTCACAGAGAGTCTCATGACTGCTTTGAGCAGCGCAATATAGTGATAGCTTTTCTGCAACAGTGAAAATGAGAAATTGAGATTTTAACACGCCACAAGATTTTAAACGGCCTAAGACCTAAGACAGGATATACAATTCCAAGCATACCTCATAAGGTTTAAGCTTATGAGAAATCAGCTCCGCGTATTCCAAAAAGTCGCTTTCAGTCTTGGGGATGAACAAATCGACGTTCTTCTCTTCCACCTTTGTTCCAAAGAGCTCAGCTGTTGCTCGGTAGTCCGCTTCCTCAACAAGCCTGTCATCACAGAAAGAACATTCATAAGAACACACACAAAGTACAAGACTTTCAAGTGAAGTGTTAGGAGAATGTATACACTCTTTACCTCTGCATGCGAAGTTTCTCAGAGATGGGATCTAAAGGTTCTTCCTTTGGTGTTTCTTTCGGAGCTTCGACGGTGGCTTTACCCTTCTTTTCTACTGCTTTCTTGGGAGCCTTCTCTGCAACAGGCTTTACAGGCGCCGGCTACACACAAAAAAAAAAAACAAAACAGATTCGAGTTTCAAAACTTAGAAGAACAGATTCAAGAACTTGAGTGTAGAAGATAAAGCTATACCAGAGCTTCTTCTTCATCATCATCCTCCCAAGAGTCCTTGATTTCATTCTCATCAACATCTTCATCATCCCAATTGCTTTTAAGCTCAACTTTTGCTGGAAGTGGTGCTATCTGCTCGTCCTCTGAAACCAGTTAAATAAATAAAAAAAAACTATTAAGCAATAGAACTCCAACAGACTTAACACAAATGCAAGTGATTCAGTTTTTGCTTCCATATCGAACCAATACTATAAACAACACATACACATAGAAATACTTACCCCAGTCATCCATGTTTGCTGTTAGTTATCGAGTACGAGTGCGAATCTAAGCTGCTATCTGAAACGGACTGCGAAACCTGCAAGACATACGCATAAACATGAGAATCTTGATAACTGAATCCAACTTTAACAATTGTCAAAAAGCTTGCTGCTTGCACCAAATACTCAATCATAAACCTATTAGTCCAACTCCACAAGTCCGCAAGTGTGAAGGAAAAGCTAATGCCAAAGTTTACAGACTAATCTTGACTTTATTCGATTGAAACTTTTGCAAAAATCTAAACAAGAATTTGGCAAATATCTAAGCTTGAATTTTGGTAACTGAATCTCAGACTAATCCTAGGGCTTTGCAACGGCCGGATATCAATCAAAATCCCAAACTGATTGAGAATTCAGGAAAGTTGAGCTTTCGAACATCATCAGGCAAGCAAATTAAGAGAACTTCATATGAATTCTGCAGCCAATTGATGATAAATTCCACAACTTTTGCGATGAATTGAAGGAAATCTTAAACTAAACCTAATCACGATTGTTATATCACTCATGAATTAGATATTTCTCATCCACAGCTAAGTCTTAGTCGAAGAAACAAAAACCCAGAAAAATCAATCGAAAACCATAAACACGAGCAATTCTCAATAGAAACCCACCAGAGAACCAACAAAAACTAAGATCTAGAAGCGAATTCAACATCGAAAATATAACATACCGAGAGCAAAAAGGCTGTGAATCCAAAAAAGGGTTTCAGCCCGACGAAGAGAAATCGCCAGAAAGTGAAGGAGGAGAAGATTGAATATTGATAGATGATTCAAGCGTTTCGTTGGATTGGAATCTCCCGATGCGGTCACAAGCGATAAGAGCTGAGAAGAGAAGAGGATCGTGAAACGACAGCTAAAGGCTACTTGAAGGGGATTTTAAATGGTTTTTCGTGAATTTTTTTAGGGTTTGATTTTTCCCATTCCTCGTTGGTTTTAACATTTAGGAAAAAGGAAATAGTAGCGTAGACTCAGACGAATTTTCAATTTTGTTTTGTCTTTTCGGTTTATTTTGATATATTGTATACGGTCGGAACCATACGGTCGAACCAATCACCGTGGCCCAAACCCAAACCATGTTTAAAATTACATTAGGGGCTAATCAAATTTGGACCTAGGCTCCTACGCTAGAATAATCGGAAACTAATCATCACAGAATTCAATTAGAACAAAACGGTGAACAACTAAATTAGGACTACGGGTGTTTGGGTTAGAATCAATCGGGTATGTGTCTATTGAATATATGATGTTTATACTCATATAAATACCGAATGAATTTCGGTTTGGTATCAGACTGGTTCGAGGCCGGATATGTTTAGGTCCATGTTTCGAGAACCAAATTTTACTCGATATTTTTCGGTTGTCATTTGGTTTGGATATTACAGATGTTTATTATCCTAAAATAAAAAAAATATACCCAAAACCTTGAAAAATATATCTTAAATCTTGTGGGTTCCGAAAACCACACTCAAAATTTATGTGTATTTTATAAAGAGAAATTGCATGTGGAATCGGAGGTTAGATTATGATGTAAGTCGAACAAGTATAAACAAGTATTTGACGAAATCTGTTAATCGAATAAAGCGGTTACAAAATCGGCCTAAAAGACCATGTAAAACACTAGGATTCGACTAAGTAAAAGAGATGGAAATGAGATGGTGGCTGCACTCGTTATCAAGCTGCCTACGTACCCTGTTTCTAGGGATCAAGCCTCAACGTAGTTCGATTGTAGTTTGTTCTCTATTTCGGATCGTTTTCTGGAAAGAAATGACCACGAAAAGAGTTAAAATGATGCGAAGATGACGATAAATCTCAGGTTATCGAAGTGATCCGAATGTAAGAAATTACGTCAAACTTCTACCGGAAGTGGTTTCCAGTTGGAAAGATCGTACACAAAGATGTCATAATTTCTCAAGACGGAGAAGAAGAACTTCACTATGTTTCTGCTGGGAAAAGAAGATGAGAAGAACTTCAAGTTGTCTCGAAAATGAGAAAAGAATACTTTGTTCTCAGATATGAGAAAAGATTCTAACTTTCCCTTTAAGACTAGAATCCTCCTCCTTTTATAGCTCATGAAGTAGATCGCAACCTCCTCTGCATATCTCGCCCACGTGCAGCTGCCGATTTCGCTATTTCCCGATCCGAACGATCGAAGCGAGATTCTCGTTTGACTCGTTCAGCTCGGCTTGCGGACTCGACTCCATCGGCTCGGACAGTAAACAGCTGGATTTGGACAAGGATACTTGGTAGCTTGAGGTCATTTTACTGGGTCTGGGTGGACTTATCTTGTCTTTAAGGTCGAGGTGATGGGCCTTATGAGCCGGATTTTTGGAGGGAAATCCAGGTCCAACAAACACCCCCCCAAATATCCGAAAATCCAATTTTTTTATAAAAAAAAACAAGAATCAAAGTACTGAAAATATAGCCAAAGATCAGAAAAAAATCTATTGGTATATGGATTTTTAAGAATTTTAAAAATTTATATAGAGTTGATTGATTTTAAAAGTTAAGAGATTTGTTTAATTTGTAAAGAGTTGTTTATGTTAGATTTGGAGAGAGTTTGTATATTTAGAAAATCAATCAAACTATTTTATTATTACTAAGTGATTTCCCACGTGGAATAAATTCACTTTTAAAAATTATAACTAGGTGATTTAGTTTGGATTTTTTAGCTTTTATGGTTTTAAAGTTTATAGGGTTAAAAAATATCATTTGTATTTTGACTAGTTGTGATTTGAATTTAGAGTCAATTATGAAAGAAGGAAGTATTGGGGTCGTATTTAGCTAATAGAGAAGTATTTAATACGTATATACATATTGTGTGGTTAAGTACCAAAAACCCCTACCAAAACTACCACTTGGTAAATGTGAGTCCCCCTCTCTCTTTCTCTTTCTCTTTCTCTTTCTCAATAAATAAACAAAAAATGTTAAATTCATTATTTTACAACTGATAATTCAATAAAATTTGATGAAAAAAATAGTATGAATTTTATGAACCTAAATTTGGTTGATACATATTATAATAACTTGTTATTATTTCTTATACCACCACTCCAAGCAGAACTGGAAGCGTTGGTATGGGCTATGCAGTGCATGCTACGAGAGAATAAGTTAACAATAGTGTTCGAAACGGACTGTTCCGATGTGGTAAAGATGGTGTCTAAACCCGAGGAGTGGCCAGCTTTCGCAACAATATTAGAGGAGCTTTGCAGATGTAAAACGGAGTTCACATCCTTTTCCATAGTGCATATTTCAAGGACGAAGAATACGAAGGCGGACAAGTTAGCACGGAGTGCTAGAAAATTTTATATTAGCGAGATACATATTTTTGTAACAAGTTAACAATTTATGTATACGAGTTAACAATTTATGTATCATGTGTATAAATGTATATTTACATTTAATTTTATATTTTTCGGGATATTAAATATGTTAGATGAATAACATCAATAAATCATATCAAACATTATTCGTGTTATATTTTTATTTAGCATGCTATAAATAAAGATAACTAATTATTAAAATATATGTTATGTTAAACAACAATATATCATGTTAACAAAAATGATATACTGTTATAAACTAATTAATTTAATAAAATAAAAGGTGGGACACGAGATGAAAGAGAGGGAGATGTTATTGATTCTGATCAATGTTGTGTCTTAAATTTTACATTTGAAGGACTATATATAGTGGAACTAAAATATTAAACAAACTAAAATATCTATTCAAACTTACTTCAAGAATAAGTAATCAATATTTTATTTTTAATGGATGATCATCCATTTTTAACACTCCCCCTTGATTATCTATTATCAATTTGAAGTTGCATGTAGCCTCGTTAAAACCTTAACATGGAAAAACCCAATGATATAAAAATCATGAAAAGGAAAAAGAGTACCGCAAACTCCCCCTGAAAAATAGATATGATCTTTTCTTCACAAATCTTTGAAAACGACGCATTCCAATACTCTAAACATGCTTCTTGAAAACTGTAGTGGGAAGCGCCTTTGTGAAGAGATCAGCTGCATTGTCACTAGAGCGAACATACTGAATATCCACTTCTTGATTCTTCTCAAATTCTTGAGTGTAAGAGAAAAATCTTGGAGGGATGTGCTTTGTCCTGTCGCTCTTGATATAGCCTTCTTTGAGTTGAGTGACACATGCAGAGTTATCTTCGTAGATTGTTGTTGGCTCTTTCTTTGTAGATACTCCGCTGGCTTCTTGTATATGTTGGATCAAAGATCTCAACCATACACACTCTCTACATGCCTCATGGAGAGCAATGATTTCCGCATAGTTTGAAGACGTTGCAACCAAATTTTGTTTTTGGGAACGCCAGGAGATCGCGGTTCCACCGTATGTAAAAACATAACCGGTTTGCGATCGAGCCTTATGCGGATAAGACAAGTAGCCAGCATCTGCAAAACCAACTAAACCAACTTCGGGGTTTCTTGAATAATATAATCCAAACTCAATCATACCTTGAAGATAACGGAATATATGTTTTATTCCATTCCAATGTCTTATGGTAGGCGATGAGCTGTATCTTGCAAGCAGATTAGCAGCAAAAGCTATATCTGGTCTAGTGCAATTTGCAAAATACATAAGTGCCCCGATGGCGCTCATGTAAGGTACTTCAGGACCTAACATTTCTTCAGAATCTTCAGTAGGTCGAAATGGATCGTTGTTTACATCAAGCGATCTATTGACCATTGGACTACTCAAAGGAGTCGCTTTATCCATATAAAAGCGCTTTAATACCCTTTTGGTGTAATTTGATTGATGCAAAAATATTCCATCTTGGAAATGCTCTATCTGAAGCCCCAGACAAAACTTTGTCTTTCCAAGTTCTTTCATTTCGAACTCATCTTTCATATGAGTTCTTGCATCATCAATCTCCTTTTGAGTTCCAATCATGTTCAGGTCATCAACATATACAACAATGATCACAAAACCCGTTGAGGATTTCTTTATGAACACGCATGGACAAATCGCATTGTTGACATAACCTTTACTCAACAAGTATTCACTTAAGCGATTGTACCACATGCGGCCGGATTGTTATAATCCATAAAGTGATCGCTGGAGTTTGACCGAACAAAGCTCTTTATATGCTTCAAGCATCTTTGATCTTTCCGGGATCTTAAATCCCTCAGGAATTTTCATATATATCTCACTATCAAGTGAGCCATATAGGTATGCAGTCACAACATCCATCACGTACATTTCTAATTTATTAGAGGGCGTTAGGCTCATCAAGTACCTGAAGGTGATTGCATCCATTACCGGGAATATGTTTCTTCATAATCTATCCCCGGTCTTTGAGAAAAACCTTGAGCCACAAGACGAGCTTTATATCTTGTGACTTCGTTTTTCTCATTTCTTTTTCTTACAAAAACTCATTTGTATTCAACCGGCATTACATCTTTTGGTGTAATGATTATCGGTCCGAATACAGTCCGTTTATTGAGAGAGAATATTTCATTCTTTATGGCTATTTGTTATTTCTCCCAGTCCGGCCTCTTTTGGCACTCTGACACGGAAGTTGGATCTGGATCATCATTTTCATGATCGATCTCTTTAGCTACAAAAAAAGAGAACATTTCATCATCATCTATTTCACTTCTAGCCCATATTTTTCCACTTTGGGCGAAGGAGATGGAGATCTCAAATTTTTCTGTCTCTGGTTCGTCATCTTGACGAACCTCTTTATCAGTGTAGAACCTGATCAGAAATGTCTTCAAGACATTTCGGTTCATCAGGAACCTTTACTCCACAATTCTTTTTCTTTCGGGGATATTTATCCTTTGATCCTATAGGCCTTCCGCGCTTTAATTGAACCGGTTCACTTGCTCTATTCACATCCAAATGTTCATGAGGAACTTCTATTTTTGATGGAGCATTAGCAGCGGGGATATAGGACTTCGTCACCCTTTTCTTAGTTGTGAACGCATCGGGCAACTGGTTAGCTAATCTTTGCATATGTATAATTTTCTGAACTTCCACCTTGCGTTGATTAGAAGGAGGATCAAGATAAGCCAAAGAGTGTGTACACCAGGTGATATCATTTGGTGATTCTCTCGAACCTCCCCCTAACGCATGGAATTCATTTTCATCAAAGTGGCTATCGGCAAATCGTGCCGTAAACATATCACCAGTTGCCGGTTCAAGATACCTTATTATACTAGGGGACGAATACCCGACATATATTCCGAATCTCCTCTGTGGTCCCATTTTTGATCTCTGTGGTGGCGCTATTGGGATATAGACCGCACACCCGAATACCCGGAGATGGGATATATTTGGCATTATTTCCAAATGCCAATTGTATGGGCGAAAATTTATTTTAAGCACTTGGTCTCACTTGAACCAAGGCTCCCGCATGCAATATTGCATGTCCCCATACAGTGATTGGGAGTTTTGTTCTCAAGATTAATGGTTTTGCAATTAACTGCAACCGCTTTATTAATGACTCAGCCATGCCATTTTGCGTATGAACGTGCAGAACAAGATGTTCAACATCGATTCCCACAGACATACAAAAGTCATTAAAGGCTGCTGAAGTGAATTCACCAGCATTATCAAGCCTCACTTTCTTTATGGCATAATCAGGGAAATGCGCTCTCAACCTGATTATTTGGGTAATGAATCTTGCGAAAGCCATATTTCTTGTGGTCAAAAGACACACATTTGACCATCTACTAGATGCATCAATCAATACCATAAAGTATCGAAATTGCCCGCATGGTGGGTTAATCGACCCACATATATCACCATGTATTCTCTCTAAGAATACAGGGGATTCATTCCCAACTTTGGCTGGCGAGGGCCTAATTATGAGTTTTCCTTGAGAATATGCTTTACATGAAAACTCCCCCGATTGAAAAATCTTTTCATTTTTCAATGGGTGGCCACTCGTATTTTGTACAATTCTTCACATCATGACTGAACCCGGGTGGCCAAGTCTTTCATGCCACACCCTAAAAGTGCTAGTAAACATCTGGTTTATTGCAACATAAGATTCAGTCATGTTGATTTTTGTGCAATAAAAATCTTTTCATTTTTCAATGGGTGGCCACTCGTATTTTGCACAATTCTTCACATCATGACTGAACCCGGGTGGCCAAGTCTTTCATGCCACACCCTAAAAGTGCTAGTAAACATCTGGTTTATTGCAACATAAGATTCAGTCATGTTGATTTTTGTGCAATATAAACCAGAGGAAATCATTGGTAATTCTTCCAATGTTTGTTTCCTCTCCGTTGTAATGCAAAGATATTCAATGCCATTTTTGTTTATAGTCTCAATATGATATCCATTTTTGCGGATATCTCGGAAACTTAATAAGTTCCGGTGAGACTCCGGGGAATATAGTGCATCTTGCACTTCAAATTTCGTTCCCCTTGGCAATGAAAAACTTGCAGTCCCAGAGCCAAGTATTATGTTTGCACTACCGCATATAGTACTCACGCTTTCAGCGGAGTCTTTCATTTTGAGACAGGAGAAATACTTCTTATCTTTGAGTATTGTATGTGTCGTAGCACTGTCTGCTAGACAAGTATCTCCATCCTTAATCTCAAAAGGTGGCACCATCTGGGCCACGAAATTCATAAAATATGAAACATTTTATATTAAACATTGCTAATATATTACATCAAAAACTTTTTAGCAAAAGATATATTATACAATACAAGAAAAACGATTAAAAGATTATTATTCTTGTCTTCTCTACGAAGACACTATCATAGACTTGACTTTCTTTGGCTCAGTTGATTCTTCAGGATCAACGAGATAGTCGGCGACATCCAATGAAAATCATCACTTAAGCCATAAAAGGATGGACCAGGTTCATCAGAGATGAAGTTAGTCTCTGTATCCTTATTTTTGGCTTGCTGTGATGCCTTGTACAGATCGGCTAAATATTTGGGCGTACGACAGGTATGCTCAAAGTGATTATTCATGCCGCATCTATAACAGTTGCGTTCACCTTTTCTTTTTAACGCTCGACTATCATCATTTTCTCTTCCACGTCCACGACCTCGACCGCGATCGCGACCACGGCCTCTGCCACGTCTGCGTTCACGTTCAGGCTTTTTAGTATGAATGGATGACGCAACATTCGCTTCAGGGAATGGCGCAGATCCAATTGGACAAAGCTGATGGTTTAACATCACAAGCTGATTATTTTTTTCAGCTACAACGAGGATTTGCATTAACTCCGAATATGAGGTGAATTCTCTTGCCCGGTATTGTTGTTCAAAGATTATATTTTCAGGATGAAAAGTTGAGAGAGTTTTTTCCAACATATCAAATTCACTGATATTCTCTCCACACATTTTCATCCTGGAAATGATGTTGTACATAATGGAATTGTACTCAGCAACACTTTTATAATCCTGGAACCGGAGATTCAACCACTCGTACCTCGCTTGCGGTAAAATCATATATTTTTGATGATCAAACCGAACTTTAACCGAGTTCCATAGATCCGCAAGATCTTCTTTTGTGATGTATTCATCTTTTAAACCATCATGTATATGGTGGCGTAAAAAGATCATGGCTTTCGCCTTTTGCTCATCGAACGTCTTTCCAGACTTATTGATAGTGCTCAAGAGACCATTTCCTTTTAGGTGCAACTTTTCACCTACCGTCCAAGACAAATAGTTATTACCACTAATGTCCAGGGCGGCGATCTCGAGCTTTGTCAAATTCGACATTATAACTGAATAACAAAAACTTAAACTTTTGAAAAATTTCAGCATAATAACGATATATAAAAGCATAAATTGAAATATCAAGAAAATAAATGACTATTTAAGAGCATAATATAAAGGCAGAAATTTAGATCTGGGAGGAGACATAGTCATCAACTCCGCTACATGGAGGAGGTTTTCACCATCAGCTCCGGAGGAGGATTTCCCTACCACTCCATATATATGATCTGAGGAGACATAGTCTACCATGTGATTATTTGCTCGGAGTAGGCAGAGCCTAGCTTCCCGGCTTTAATTTATTTGATCGAGGAGGCAGAGCCATCCATGACGATCAGCTCGGAGTAGGCATGGCTTAGCATCCCGGCAGAACATACAAAATATAATTTAAAAAATTTAAATAATTTGGACAGAATTTAATCTCACATTTTCGGTATAAGGATAGATCTGGACATATCTAGACTCGTAGAGGCGGTCGTGATAACGTGTTATAAACTAATTAATTTAATAAAATAAAAGGTGGGACCCACGAGATGAAAGAAAGGGACGAGAGATGAGATTGAGAGAGAAAGATGTTATTGATTTTGATCAATGTTGTTTCTTAAACTTTACATTCGAAGGACTATATATAGTCGAACTAAAATATTAAACAAATCAAAATATCTATTCAAACTTACTTCAAGTAATCAAGAGAAAATTGCCAATTTACCCCAAAAAAGACCTTTCTTGTCCCACTACACCTTTCTCTCTTGTTGTTGTCCTAATACACTTTTTTTAAGTAATTTGGATATTTTTGACCTTCAAATTGAATTGGTAATGTGTTTGGAGAAATTAAAATATTTTTTGATTAAAAAATTAAAACATACAGAAAAATAAAATAGAAAAGGGAATAATAAAACAAAATCGACATAAGCTCCATTCAAAATAACTCGACCTCTCTTCTCTCCCTCACTGCGCCGGAGAAATTCGATCGAACCCTAAATCTCGCCGTCACTCGCTCGGTCTCCGCCGCTCATCCTCGCTCCGTTCTCCATAGACGTTTCCTTCGCTCGCTCTCCCTTACGCCGATACCAGTTCTCTCGATTTGTCTCAAAATCCCCGATTAACTTTGAAATCGACTTGGTAAGTTCATTCACTTTTTTTTAATGAATCCCCGATTAGTTCATTCACTTCTTTGACAGATTATTAATAGAATTGGTTCGAACTCGTGGCTTTGACAGCATGCAATTAGGGTTTGCTTGATTTTAGTGTTTGCGAAATTGATTTTGGGGTTTGCAAAAGACAGTAGATTTTTTTCTCGTTAATACCTTATTCCTCAGAATCATTTGCTCCATGTTTTGTTCAAAGCTAGAGTCGATTTTGTTTGGAATGATACATTGGAATTGTTGATTGTTTAGATACTTTTGTACATGTTTTCTGCTTAGATGGTTATTTTTTCTGAATTTGTAACTTTCTTTAATCCTTTAAGTTGTCATATAATTGATGGTTTAGATACTTTTGTCTCTATTGATCCTTTAAGTTGTCATATAATTGAAGTCTTCTCCTTGCAAAGCTATCGTAAAAACTGTTAGACTCAATGCTTGTCTTCTTTGAGTTTCTGATATTGACCTTTACATACTGTGCTCGTTAACACCTTATATGCTCTCTCCTTTCCTGGTTTTTGTTTGTTCTCGCATTGTTTACCAATTTTTAGCTGGTGGTTTATGTACTTATGTATGATTTGAGTAATTGAACATTTCAAATTGTGTCTTTGCTTACAATGATTTGTGTACTTTTTGTGATGATTTAATGCTCTCTGTTTTTCTAAACGCTAAGCAATGATTTGCGTCTTTTTATGTACTTTTTCTCTGATGATCGTCTTGCTCTTCTTACAGCCTCTGTTGTCTTATTTAATCCGTCTGGAAGTGCATTCGGTATCTCAGCCACTAACTTCCGCTAGCAAGAGGTAAATGTTTTCTGCTATACTGTGGTTATGAACTTCTAGAATTACGTTGGGTTAATAACTTAGAGTAATAGTGTGTTCAATGCGTAGATTGTATTATATAAAAATTGAGTAGTGATGGATGCCTTTGTTTTTTTATCACACTTATACTTATGCTTCTCTGTTTTCTGCTTGTTGTTTCAATTTGGTGTTTATTTCTTCTCTCATTTCAGCTATGTGTCTTCATCACTCGGTTATGTTATTGTTTGACCTGTGATTCTTAGTGATTTCCTTCAAATTACTCTTTTCACTATTACTGATGGACATGATATGTAATTTTTTTGTTTTGTAAGATGTTTTTTTCGCAGTTTCATTGACTCTTGTTTCTTGATATTTGCTGTGATTTCCTTTGTCTCTTGTTTGGTTGCCATCATCGTTTATATCTAGTTTGCCCTTTTTTGATTTTTTACATCTCTTTTCCTCTGCTTTGGCTTGTTTAACTCGTGTATGTGATAAGATACGATATCTGTTTAACTCTTACGATATTTGTTGATGATAAGCCTAACAATTTATTTTCTGGTGATTTTGGTGGGTGCAGATATTGACTCTGAGTTGCCGAAGAGACTACATGCAGAAGGAGCCGAACCACAGTGTGACAAGATAAACAAGTGTGCAAGAATGTCGATATTGACTGATCTGGCAAACGGCGTGAAAGCAGAGTACACAGAAGTGAAGCGAGACCCATTGTTTGCTAAAATCATAGCCATCCACGAACACCGGCTGCATTTCTCAGCTAAAATGGTGCATAGTTTCATGACCAGGCAGCTTGTCACCGCAAAGAAGCATGAGCTATGGTTCGTCTTCGCAAGAAGGCCACTGCGGTTCTCTTTGCAAGAATTTCATGCTGTCACCGGTCTCAAATGCGTAGCCGATGGAAATTCAGAGGAAACCAATTGGGTTGACGATGGAGGTTTTTGGAGTACAATGTTAAAGACTCGTGGGAAGATTAGCTTCGAGACAATCAGAAAAAAGCATCTCCAGGAGGCCAACACCTGGACTCGCGTGGATAGACTCCGGTTGGTGTATTTCTGCGTTGTTGGTCTGCTGATGGCAATAGATGAGAAGAGCTTTGTTTCGCATGAGTACATCAGGCACATCATGGACATTGATAAGCTACGAGCTTATCCATGGGGTCTGCGCAGCTTTGACCATCTAGTGGATGGTGTGATCAAAGCCAGAAGCGACTTGAGTAAACCAAGCTATGTCTTGCAAGGTTTTGCATATGCTCTCCAGATTTGGATCATGGAAGCTATTCCAGATTTTGGGATTATGTTGGGGAGGAAGCTCAATGAGGTGGACAACATCTTCCCTAGATGTTCGAATTGGACTGGGGCTGCAAGAGCAGGATTTCAAGAGATAATCGACTTGGAGAAGACTCTAAGAAAAAACGTGAGTAACACTCTCCTATTAATGTCTCATGTTGTTTCTTATTTATCATGTGTAAATGTTTAACCTCTGTGACACTTTTTTCAGGGTCTTGTGCTATACTCTTTCATCTCAGCCACGGGCAACATGGATGTGATACGGGATCAAGACTTTGTCAGGACTGACGAAATGAGGGATGAAAGAGTTGATCGGATGGAGCAGCTCATCAGTCAGAATCATGATTGGAGTAAACGTCTCTGGGAAGCTGAAGAACCGGTTGACACAGATCCTGCTCCGGCGTCTGCTCCGGCAACTGCTCCCGCTTCTGCTGCACAGACAGAGTCCGAGGTTGTGCATAACAAGGGCGGTGAAAGCACTGAGGATTTCAGAACGCCTTGCGGTGAGGTGACATCGTCTTCTGGCTCGAGGACTCGAAAGAGGAAGGTCATAGACATAGGCGCTGAGCAACGCAAGAAGCAATTGTTGTTTCAGCGATCAGTTGCGAGTGCCGACCGTGGGAGTGAATGTTTTATGCGTAATCTCTTTGCCGAGTATGAGAAGAAAATGACGGAGCAGAAAGACGAGAAGTACGAGAAGTTGGCTTCTGATTTTGCAAAGCTTCAAGGGGTGGTGACTGAGCTTAAGGATATGCTCACAGAAGCATTATCCCGTGGAAACAACGGAGAGTCATCCTCACAGTCAAAACCGGTGTCTCAAGTCAACTATGAGCACAGAAGGAAGGTAAACGCCAACAAGAACCCTAACACTTGATCAAATATCCACTGCTGTGTAATGTTTTTTGTCAAATATGTATTATGTGAGATAAAACTCTAGGTAGTTAATATGTAACGAACGGTTGTCTGTTCTAAACATGTTGTAATAACTATTTGTTTGAAATAATTTCAGTAGGATAAAACCGTAACTAATGATTGACTTTGTTTAACCACAGGCACAGTTTGATGTTTCGTTAGACAAACTGGTAGACATTAACCTAACCCAAAGCTCGGAGATCAACTTTGGTGAGAATACACAAAGTTATCTCTTCAGAAAGCAAGGCCATCTCTCACAAGACTCCTTTGTCCCCGGATTTGATCCATCCCAGCAATCCAAGGACAAATCTAAGAAATCGCAGCCGAGAAACCAAAAAGCAAAGGTGAACACATAATAAAAACCCCAAATCTTCACCAATTAACTAGTGCCTGTATTTTGATTTGTTTTGGTTTTGGAAAAGAGATGAAGCAATTTCTAAACACCTTTTCGCAGGACAAAAACACAGCAGTGGAGAATGTTAGTAAGGAAAAGGGGAAGATCTCGCAGCAGAAAAATGAGAAAGCTAAGGTGAACACGAAAACAAACTCCACATTTTCAGAATTTAACTATTGCTTGCATTTGAATATTATAAGTGTTTAGTTATTTTTCAATAAAGACATGAAAAAAGTTCACACTTTTATCGCAGGTGAAACCCAAAAAAGCGGAGCATGTGATTACGGAAAAGGATACACATGAAGACACGTCTAAGAGAGAAGGGAAGGTAAACTAAAACAACTAAAATTGATGTTTCAAACAGATTATGGGTTATCTGAAGACCATTTAATCTATCTTTTTTTTTGCGTTTTGTGTCTCAGGCCGTGAAGACGGAACCAAATGGTTCTACAAAAGATCCTAAAGCCGCAGAAGTCGACTCCGATACTGAAGACGTGTTGAAAGTACTTGCATGTCTAACAAGACCGATTAAACGCAGACCCCTTTACAGTGATTCTGATGAAGACCAGGACGGTGAAGACCCAAATTCCACGAGAGGCAATCCAAGCTGATGCAGGATCATCCATTGTCAGAAGATCCCGATGCATTCCTGTGGTATATCTCAGAGGAGCGTTACGAGGAGCTACATGGGTGGTCGCAGACATTTGTGTAAGTCCCTAATTCTCTTTTGGACCCGGTTCTGTCAATTACACATTTTCCCCTGGTTTTTATTTTTAATTTTTGGGTTACAGGGACATAAAGGTTGGTCCAATGCTGCTCACATGGGCGCTATCTAACCGTGTTGTTGGTCCAGGTGGTCCAGAAAAATGGCTAAAAAACGAGGTTTGAGTTAACTTAAACTAGAATATTCGTCTCACATATTTAAATTTTACTATGAGGTTTGTTTTTAGCTAAGTTTACGTTGCATATGCTTATGATTTCAGGAAATTGATGGCTTGCTCTATGTATTTCGTGAGAATACGACTCTGAAACGATGGGATGTCGACAGAGTGGGGTTCATGAACTTCAATTTCGCATGTTGTATCAAGGCGGCGTATGAGCAATGGAAGAGTATGAAGAAGAAGTTCGAAGTCAGTGAGTACCTCATGGCTTTCGGCAAAGGTATTCTGCCTGCTCACGGCAGAACCGACAAGGTTTGGGGAGTGGATTTTGATCGCATATACACTCCAGTGTCTGTAGGCGGCAACCATTGGATCGCCTTGTGTATCAATTTCTCGGAGCGGGTCATTGACGTATTCGACTGCAACGGATTGAAAAGGTACAGGGAGGTGGACGCTTTCACGCACATGGTGCCGCGTATCATGAAGGAAGTGCAGACAGGTGAAACGAAGAAAAACCTCTCTGTCGCCCCATATACCGCCAGGTACGTCCCAATGCGAGATGGGATGAACGAGACCCATTCTGATTGTGAGGTTTACACGTTGAAGTTCATAGAGTGTCATGCGTTGGGACGAGATGTGTCTTTGCTAAACGACGAAAACATGAAGTATGCTAGGTACAAGATAGCGTCTGACCTACTTCAGGCGGGAAGGGATGAGGTTTTGCTTGAGCGGATGTCAAGGCATGTGACGCCGGAGTTTGCTCCCACAGAGACCATAGACATTGGTTTCATATTTTTGTTGGTTTTTTTGTTACAATTTCCTTGATTGTTTTGAGAACTAACGGCAACGCCATTGAAACATTGGTTGTGTTATTGTCTTTGGTTTGATATTCTCTTTGTATTTCCACTTTATTGTTTTGAGAAATGGCAAATCCATTGAAACATTGTTGTGTTATTGTCTTTCGTTTGATATTGTCTTTGTATTTCCACTTTTTGTTTGAGAGATGGACGCTTGTATCTTGCGAAGTTTAAGAGAGGAAGTTTACAAGAAATAAATGAAATAATGAAACAAAAAAATCGTCGGTTTAACACCGGTTCACTTAAATCGTACCAGTGTCTCGAATTGGTTTGGTATAATCAGCATAAGAAATGAAATCAGGAAACAAAACGACGGCGTTTTGAGAAAAGGCAAATCTATTGAAACATAAGAATTGGTTTCGACATAGAAGAACCCTAGAATCCGATTTCGCAAGCCATCCCAAATTGTCTAAGGTTATTTCGTTTCTGGGTTTTAGCAGCCAATCTTAGGCGATGAGTAACGTCTCTGGAGCTTCTAGTGGGTCATCAGTTGGTTGTCCAAGAGGGAGAGTTTATGGAGTGCCAAAAACTTGTTCATGTGGAGAGAAAATCGTGGAATTGATTTCCAAATCAAACAACAATCCGTACCGGCGGTACTATCGCTGCGGATATGCTGTATCTAATAAAGTAAGTGTCAATAATAATAATCGCAATCTCTCATTCATTGTTTTTGTAATGCCGATTTTCAAAAGTAGTTGTTTTGATGGATGTAGCTTATGAATGATAACCACACATTCAAGTGGGTGGATGAGGCTCACTTAGATGAGATAGAGGGATTGAAGATGAGAAATGCAAGGCTTGAGAAAAAACTTGAAGCGGTTACCATTGAGAGGATGGAGTTTGAGAGGCTTGTGTTTGAGAAAGTGAAAATGAAGATTGAAGAGGCTTTGGTTGAATCATCACATACGAGAAAGGAGATGGTGATTGGTGCAATCGTTTTATGTATGGTGATGGTTGGGTTTAGTAAGTTGCTAAGTTAAGTTAAAGAGGTTTAGAAGCATGATCTTCCATTGTTCTTGTTTGATGTGTTCAGTTCTTAAGGTTGTGTACTTGACATAGAGTGTTTCAAATAATGGTTTTGCTTTGTCTATTTTCCTGCTATTTCGTTCAAACGCAGTGCATAAGTATTACCAAAAACCGAATGCAGTATAAAGACGCCAAATAGAACTAAGATAACAGAAATAGAGTCTTTCTCCAAACAATTAAAACAACTGAAAGAAACATAAACAAAGATAACAGAAACAGAGTCTTTCTCCAAACAATCAAACCAACAGAAACAAAGAAACGGAAACAAAGAAACAGAAACAAAGAAAACAAATGGAACATGGTGTTATACTAGATTGGCATGTCACATGTTGCTCTATTGTGGCCTGAATTATCACATCGACTACACTTGTGTGTCTTCCTTTGCTGCGATCTAATCTTGTCCTCAACCGATTCAAACCGTCTCTTTCTTCTCCTACCAGCAGCTCTGCGTGATTCTGGACAAGAAACAATCTCTTCATCAACAACTTGGGGGACACTCCATGCATCCTCAGGAACACCTATTGGATTTACTGCTTCTTCATACCCAACTCTCCATAACTCAGTTTTCCACAGCTCATCTGTGAATTCATGTGGTTGCTTTCCAATTGCAAAAATTGCTGGGATCGCATGCCTACATGGAATTTTCTGCAGATCAAACTTGGCGCATGTACATGTTCGCTTCGCCAAATCAACCACACATTCGTAGATGTCACCTCCCACCACAAATCGAGTTGCATCTACTTGCTGAACCGTGAATGCTTTACCCTTTTCCGTCCTTCTTGTAATCTTCTTCTCAACAGCAACAGTTAGAGGGTGGGTATGCTTGGAGCTCAATGTTCTACGCTTAAAGAACCACCTTGTCAACATTTCTCTAATGCTGTCTAGTAGAGGGATTACCGGGAACTCTCTAGGTGATCTCAATGCTGAATTCAACGACTCAGCGGGGTTAGTTGTCCTAACATCATACCTGTATCCAACAAATAGACAGCGAGCCCACTTTCTCACATCAGCTTTCACAAGATACTTCCCCACATCCGGTCTGTTCTTAACGATATCAGTCATCATCGTCTGAAAATCAGCAATTCTGTATGCTTTAGAAGCCTTTGCAACCAAAGCAGCCACACCTTTTCCATGTAGATAAGAGATGACATTGTTCAGCAAGTGGTGAATACAAATTCCATGAGTAGCTCGTTGGTAAACTATAGGAAGTAGTCTGCCAATGGACAAATTCCTGTCTGAGATGAAGGCCAGATCGTAATCATCCTCAATAACAACATGTAGCTGCCTCAAAAACCATTCCCATGATAGATCATTCTCTGAATCAACCACACCAAATGCTAGTGGATACAAATTCGAGTTACCATCTAAAGCTGTAGCAACTAGTAGTGTTCCTTTGTATTTATTCTTCAAGAATGTACCATCAATAACGATTACCCGTCGCATGGCTTTGTAGAACCCTCTTATAGACTGACCAAAAGAGATGAACATGTATCTGAAACTACCATCAGGATCCGTCTTGAAAGTGTATGGGTACCCGGATTAGCTTCTTTTAGCATGTGCAAGTACCTTGGTATTTTTGCATAACTCTCCTCAGGTATTCCTCTCACATAATTGACAGCAAACTCACGTGCCTCCCATGCTAGATCGTAAGAGATCTTGCATCCGTGCTCAATACGCATCAGCTGAATGATATCATTGGGTTTAGGTCCTTCTTTGACACCTTCATACTTCTGCATAATGAGATTGCCAATTGTCTTCGCTGAAGCTGTCCTCCCGATTTTGGCTTTACCTGAAGGAGCACAAGTGTGTTCACCCACATACTTGGTGATGACAAACATGGTCGTACCTTTTAGACTCACTGCTCGAACGCGCCAGTTGCATTCTTTGACCACACACCGAGCTGTCCAAAAACTAGTGTCCGATTTGAGCACGATGTAGTCGAAATTGTGCTTCATAGCAAGGATTTCGAAAGTGGATTTCAACAGACTTTTGCTTCTGAATTCTTGCTTTATCTTCACAGCTTCCATCAAAGCGCCACGAAATTGATAATCATACTCGATTTCCTTTTGCGACAATACTTCCTCTTCATCATTGATCTCTTTGAGTATCATTTTCCCTTTTTTGATCTCATCTTTGACATGGGATAATCCATCGGTTGGAGGTACACCTCCATGATCACCATTACCATCAATGTGGACTCCACTATTTTCTTTGGGATCCTTAAGTGTCAAACACAACTGCTTTGACTCCTGCTTCCTTATGTATCCAACGAAATTTTGCACTTGCCGATCGTTGGAAATCACAACTCGGGGAGATATAGCATCGTTGATCAAACCGCGTGGCAAATAGCTAAACTCGACGTCGATTCCGCTCTCGAAAGAGAAATCCTCTAAAACCATCGCTTTTAGGTCGTCAAACCTAGTATTAGATTCCACACAACTACTCTTCCTCCTTTCCTTTCATCAGCAACAAATATCCACCCATTGATTTGACACCTTTTCCATGAACCACATACTACATAGATTTGAACCATATTGGATAGAGAGAAAGAGGACTACAGAGGAGGAAGGGGATGAAGAAGACGAGGAAGAAGATCATGGAGGTTTATTTTCGGATAGTTGGATGAAAATAAGGAAACAAAGATTTGAAAAATATTTTTTTGCAATATTCTCTCGATTTTTGCAGATGATGAACTCTACACAATGTAGAACTAACCTATTTAGTAGAACATCCTGTGAAAACACGAAACTACGGATTGTAGAAGTCTTCTTTTTAGTAGATCCCTAGTTCTACGCCTTGCAGAAAAACATGAAATATGTAGTACACGAAAACTATGACTGGTAGATAGCAGTGTTTACCGTAGAATTTGGAATCTACGAGTAGTAGCGGATGGTGTATTCTGTAGAATATTTTTGGAGCGAATTCTACAAAATGGTAGAGTGTATTGTATATGGTAGATATCGAAGTCTAATCCGGAAGATGAATGAAGAAATTGTAGATATCATATCCTACGACGGTTAGACTTGCGAATAACTTGTAGAAAGCGTATTCTGCTTTGATATTTTACTTTGTAGAACCAAAACTTCAAAGAATTTTTTAACCATCCAAAACATTTTAAAAATATTCAAATATTTTACACATTCTTTAGATCATTTTTAGGACTTTTAGAAATTGTGTTCACTTAAAAAAATATTCATTATCATGTTTAAACAATATTGAAGGGCAATTATGGAAAAAAATGGCCAAAGTCAAAAAAGGGTAATAGGACAAGAAAGGCCTTTTTTTGGGGTACTTTGCCAATTTGCCCACTAATCAATATTTTATTCTTAATGGATAATCATCCATTTTTAACATATACCAATTTTTGGTTTAAAAATTAAATTGTATCTTTTCATTTGAAGCTACTTTTAATGTGAAATTTAGGGATTCAATCGTGATAGATCTTGAAGCCGGACTTTGGGTCATATTAACGGATCCAGATCGAGTAAATGCATGGTCTAAGACTTGGTATAGAATAGTGACGGTGGAGCTTGAAGGTGGGATACAGCGGAGATGGGAATCAGAGAAAAACTGGAAAAAAAAGATGAAAGTAGAGGAGATCTAGAAGAGGTAAACATCGTATGAAATCAACAAAGATGACTGAGGAAAGGCTGTTTTTAAGATGGAGTTTTTGCCGAAGAATTATATACAGAAATGGCTGTTTTGTTGGAGTTTTTTGCCAGTGGAAAGAGATAAACAAGGAGAGAAAGAGAGATAGAGAGAACGAGGGAGAGGGGGAGAAAGAAGCAGAGTGAACGAGGAAGAAAGAGAAAGAGAAAGAGAATGATAGACAGATAGTTAATAGGGGTAATTTGGTATTTAAAAAATAGAAAAAGTGAGGTCCATCGATATTTTCCCTATTAGCTAAATACGATGTATATACTTCCTATCTCAGCAAATTTCTCTTGAATTTTCCAATTTAGAACTTTTTGTTTGTAGAAAATTTCAGTTTGATATCAAAACTTTGGATAAACAATTTGATATCTGGTTCCAACACTCTGGTTCAATGGAGAATTTTGAAACGAAATAATAAACTACTTGTCAAGATCTATCTCCTACAGAACTTATGCTGCTGAAGAGGCGTGACAAAACTTCGTTATACCTGAAAAGTTACAATTTACAACAATACTAGATGTTAAATTCTAGTGTATATTACAACATTAGGCTTCAAAGATGAAGCTACAAAATTAATCAAAAGCATCTTCCACACCTTACCAGCCTCGCACATCCCTTGACTAATGATATTGATAGTATATGTAAACAATACCATACCATATCTATATTTTTTTTTTTTTTTGAACATCATACCAATATCTATTTCTCTCTCCCCGATGTATTCAAATATCAACAATGCTTCCTCTACCTTTTTTTTTTGCTTTACCTTCCTTAACTATTTAACAGAACGTTGTAGGTCCTAATATCCGAAGGCGCAACATTAGGATTGTGTTGGCAACTTATCATTGTCATCCCTCCTCTACTCTCTTTGACTTGCAAAACATTTCGGAAGTCACAATATTTGGGAAGCAGCACTTGCTTTCCATCAAATAAAACATTGGATTGGCCTCATCTAGCGACTGTACATGCAAAACCTAAAGACATTCAGATCATCAACTTGTACAGTTCTTTAGCCTCCAAAAGCTTCCCCCAGTACTTTTACAAATCCATCGATCAATGCAGTGAAAGTGATCACGTTAGGGTCGATTTTCCTCTTCATCATATATATCTCAGCAGCCAAGCAGCTTCACTACATCTACCAATATCACAAAGACTGCTTACAAGAGATTATAGCCTTATAGGTGAAATTCTTTTCCTATGACAGAAACCATTGATCTGAACTCTGAAGCAAAGGTGACTATATCAGGCTCAAAAGCAAACTTCATCATCTGCACAAAAAAAGACAAAGCAAAAGAATGTTGATAGGATTGGCACAAATAATAATTCATTAGATAAAAGAAGAAACCAAGATATATATATGCTACTAACTATCAGCTATCCCATCCGATTACGACACCACCTTCACAAGTGCTATTAACATCTTATATGAAAATCAAAACAATGATGATTGATTCAATAATTAACATGAAGACATGAATAACTATGAAGATGTAAAAACAAATTAGATAACAATATAAAATTGGAATAACATGCATTTATGTATATATAGCTCTTCCAAATCTAGGGCTCTATTATGTAGCATACATCTTAACTAACAACAAAGATTTAGGGTTTTAGGTATCTTAAGTTTAATACGGTAATTTATTGATAGATGGCAAAGAAAATTAACTAAGCTATCTCATGGATTTTGAGAATCTAAGGGTTGTATGTAGTATTTTGAAAATTCTATTTAATGAGTTAAATTGTTTAAAAATTATGTCCTAATAACAAGAATTTTAATTTTAATGGATCCGTGAAATCATTAAAACAAAATAAAATTGAATAACAACAGGGTTTTTATAGACTTTAAAAATCACCGAACCAGTAACAACATATTTTAGTAAAATTGTTAGAATCCATAAACTAATAACAAAAGTTTTGAAAATTTTAACAATTTTTCAAATCTATTTACCAATAAACTCCTTAAAAACCTAAAAACTAATATACTTATCATATAAAAAATAATCCATAATATCCATAATTCGGATATCCAATCGGGTTTGGGTTTCAGAACAATGTATCTGGAGACCTTAAGTAAAACAAAGAGAAACACAAACTACAAGATGAATATAAACGGTAGAAAAAGGATACAAACAAATGAAAATTGAAAACTAACTGTAAAACTGGAAAAGTAGAAGAGATTCCAATAGAAAAACCTGCAAAAATTGGAGAAGGACCAAAAGACAATGAGCCTCTAGAAGAACACCAATTTTAACAAACTCACATTCCGCTACCTTAGAGCTAACAAGAGAAAGTTCAACACTTTAAGATCAGAGCTTGAGCTAATGAACATGACATGATCTCAAACAGCTTCCGCTTACTCAAACTGTGATTCATATCCAACCAAGAAGAACATTAAAACCAATAAAATAAAATAAAAAAAGGCATATCCTTGATCCTTCTCATTGACAAACTAAGTAAAACTACAATCTATTCTTCAAACGAATTTGTGATTCAAATGCAAGCAACAACAAGAACATTGAAAAGCAAAACATACTTTCTCATTGGCAAACTACAATCTCTCCTTCAATTCAACATACATATCCCAAGATAAAATTGGGAAACACCGCCATTGTAGTTCACTGAAGCTATAAGCAAAGAGACAAAACCTAAACAACCTTGAGGAGGTTACAACACATTATTACAAGGCAAAGCTTTTGAGAAAACCAGGATCGCGTTTAGCTTTCTCCTGAAACTTTTTAAACCACCGATCCAAAATATCCATCGGAACAACCAATTTACTCCCGTCGACGCCGCAAAACGACTGCATGAAATTGAACAGATTCTCCCCAACTTTCATCGCCAGCCGCTCGATTTTTCTCTCCGCCGCCACATCCACAGACTGAAGCGCCGCCGCATCTTCCACCGAGACGCCGATTTTCGCCGACAGAGGAGTCGTCGAATCCGCTGACATCAGAGCCGTACCTCCCGGCTCCGGCCACTGCAGAGACAAAACCGCCGATGGTCGATTCAGGGTTACGGCGCCGCAGAAGACGAATCCGGATCCTGGTGATTGGAGATATACGGCTAATGCTTTGTCCGGTGGAAGAGTGAAGTTGTTCAGTAAGAAGATACACATCTCCCCGATTTGATCGTATGCTTCGCCTGCCGGAAAATTCGAATTTTGATTAGATTAGCTTAGATTTTTAGGGTTTTGGGGAAAATTCGGAGAAGATAACTTACCGACGAAGTGGTTCATGTCGAGAACCCAGTGGTGAGTATCGATTTGGGCGAAAGTTGAGATGTCGATTGGGAAACTCCGATTGGGGAAGACGACGCCGAACATTGTTGTTTGATTTGAGTTTCAGAAAGATTTGATTTTTTGAGTTGGGTTTTTGAAGTCGTCGTCTTGTTGCTGAGAAAAAGAAAGAGAGAGCTAGATGATTCTAGAACATTTATGTGATTCAATTTCCGTTAGTTTCGAATTGATGTTAACCGGGAACTGTTGGTTAAGTTGGTTATCTAGGAATGATTTTGCTATCCTCATATTTCGGGTTGTTTGCGATAGTTTTCTGTTTAGTTTTATTTATACTTTATCTCACATCGCATATCCTTTTATTTTATTTTATTAGGATGTTAACACCCCACTTTATCTCGAGTTTTCTATTTTAAACATTTTAGCATATTATAAATATTATGTTTGTTTACTTCTGTTAGACTATAAACATGCATATGTATTTGACTCAATGTTAAAATTTGTAAGTATAATGTAAAATCGCATTTGCACCGAAATAAGATGAAAAAAACAATATATATACTTTTTTACATATCTACTTTGTTGTGGTAGCATATGAGTCTCATGACCATTGATTATTTTCTATTATGTTAGTTTTGTAAGTGAATATATTTTAAAACAAACATATCACAATCCTTAAAAAAATTATGTTTTTCACTGCAATTAAATTTACATATAAAAACTCGACTTCTATTTGTTTAAAAAAGCAAACTCTAACTCTACTTTGTCATTGGTTTTTATTATTTTAATTAATTTATATCCAACTTTTTAATTTGTAAACACATTATAACATTTAGAAATAGGATAAATCCTTTTAATAAAAAGGTAAATATATACCATTTCAAGTTAAATATATTTTTACTTATATTTAAACTTTTTCATAACTTTTAACATCAAATTATCACATAGTTTATATTAATTAAGTAATTTAGTTGTGTATTTTTCTTAGTTTTATTTATATTTAAAATATAAATATATGTAAAGAAATATGAATAGTCATGTATTAAATATCTTAAAAACAATTTAATGAATTTTTTGCTGATGTGGATAGCTTAGATGGAGAGAGCAACTCTCCTATTATATATAAGATTTCAAAGAATTTATGAGATTTGACTAGATTTTGTAAATCCACTCGTATAAATCCTAAGAGCATGTTTAACGGTTGACGCTTAATAGGACGCTTAAGTAAATTTGGGATTAAAATAAATGTAAACGAAATTAAAGTAGAAAAATCAAAGTTTACACATGGCAGATGACGATTGACTGTCGTTTAAGGAGAAGGAAAAAAAACGCTTTTTCCTTTCTCATTTTTCGGTTTCTATTCTCTCTCCTCTCTCTCTTCTAATTACAAGGTGTCACGTGTCCTCAAGCGGTGATGCTTAAAAACTTTTTTTTTTTTTTTTTTTTAAAACGAAACCCATGTAATTTTATTATACCATTCCGAGAAGACAAGCTTCGTGAGCTAGCCAATTCGGAATTAAAGAGTTTACATAGGTGAAAAGGAAACCACGTGCTCGAGCTGCCTTTGAAATGCAGTCGGCATGGACATTTGATAATCGTGGTACAAAGGAGAGAAAGATAGAATCAAAATATGATCTAAGGAATTGGTAATCGTCTAACTCCGAAGCCATGGATGGCCAAACTTCCTCCTCCTCTATCAGTTTGACAAGTTGCATACAGTCTGTTTCGAACCTCATGGATGTTATACCAAGGTTTAGGACAAACTTCATTGCCCATATCATTGCTGAAAATTCGGCATGGAGAGGTGAGAGGGCATGATTGCTTGCTGTCGCGCCGTAAACTCTAGTTCCATCTTCCTTGTCCATAACGAAACCGCCTCCACTATAGTCTGAGTCTGTGCCCCATGAGGCATCGACCTGACATCTTGGGAGGCAAACTACTGTTTCGTCGTTTGGAGCTTCTGGGGAACTTGTATTGTTTTCATCTCGAGTAATGCTGCTTGTTTGAGCATTTTTCCATGCTGTGGATTCAGCAGTTGCGTGTTGCAGAGTATCAAAGGCTGCAATATTAGTGTTATCGAAGACTTTCTCATTTCGTGCTTTGCATAGGAACCATATCATCCAGGGATATTTCCTTAGAGCTTCCTCCTGCACTCCGGATTCTTTTGCACGCCACATGAGGTAGTCCAGATTACTGAACAGAGAGTTACACGCGAATATACCCGGAATGGTTGGAATATCATATTGTTCCCAGACCTGTCGAGCTTCAGGACATTCAAACACCATATGATTCACTGTTTCCACCTCATCTCCACATATGGGGCATGAGCGGTCTGTGCCACAGTGACGATCTACAAGACGGTCTCGTACCGCGATGCACCCCGTTATGCATTGCCACAGGAAGTGTTTTAGCTTCTTTGTCGTTTTTGTTTTTCATGCCATACGTTTGAGTGGTTTGAGGCTCGGTTCTAAGACTTGGTCTGATGTGATTTTTGTCGAAGCTTGGTTTTAATTGCATTTTTCATTTAATTTTATTGCATTTCTGGCTAAGCAATGTATTAAGCGTCCTGCGTTATTCATGCTCTAAGGTGATTAGATAGGATTTCAAGAGATTTACAAAAAAAAAAGTGTTTTTTATTTAAATAGTTACACATCATTTGTTTTAATTACAGCATCTTATTTTTTTCTCCGAGCCATGAAAGTGAAACCATTCTTTATTTCAAGTACAGATCTTTTTAATCGTGTTGAAACACAACGTCAATAATCTTTTACTTTCACGAAACAAGAATGAAACTATTTTAATGGACTCTTTCACAAGAGTTTATTAAAATCAATACAAAATAACAATACCAAAATTTTCTAAAGACATGAGAAAAGAATTCCAACATATTATGCCGTAAGTGATGATCATTCTCAAAGCTTAAAAAAAACTACATACCACTTCACTTGGCAATAAACTTGGTTTTATTTTGGCTGTAGTGTTTTGTCTAGCTATAAGATCCTGCAAATGTCATAAATAATCTCACAAATATCAGCCAATAAACACATCATGGTTTCACACTATTGTTGTCAACTTTAAATACAGTGGAGAAATATAAATATATAGAGAAAGATAACTTATTTCTGGCATATATCACCGTTGCAATCCACTAGCTATAGCATTGTTCCACATATGTGTAGCAATTGTTTCTCTCCATTCATTAGCATGTTCTGTCAGTTTATTTATGATGCTGCTGAGTTGTAGAGCTGTTTGATCATTGTATGATACGTCACCGGAAAGTCTGAGACACACGAAGCAGAGTCACAGGATCAGATTTGTAGCACCATCTTAGAAAAAGTCACAGAGTTTATAAGACAGGGCTGAAAGTTGAAGATCATCAAACTGTGATTTCAAAGTGAGCATGAGTTCTATAAACCAGTAACAAAGGGAGAGATTGTTGAGTATAGTTGTTACAGGTTCTAGACTCAAGATAAAGATGATGATTCATATCAAGGCGTTATGAAGAAGTTGATACATGAAGTGTCACACAAGCTGTCGTGTGTGTGACACAAGGATGAGTTGCCGTGAGAGCAACAAACAACGCAAGGATGATGACGTGGCTTTAGGGTCTTAGTGAGAAGATCCAATATGGTGAAAGCAACATGGACTTCGAGATAACAACAAGAAGTCATGTGGGCTTTATTTCAAAGAGAAGTCCAACTTCATGAGAAGGCTTGAAGACAATAGACTTAGGGTTTTTGTCCTCTTTGAGTTTAAATATGTTAAGGTGGTGGCTGCAAAAGTTACGCACCTTGAGGTCTATTGCAAGAGGCACACATGTTGTGTGTGGTGTCGTCCCACCAGTTTGGTGGTTAGGAGAACTACACTCGTCGGAAAAGACAATAGGTGGTAGTTGCTCATATCATTTTAATTCTAGGAAAGAGTGGTGGATGCCATATAACAGTTGGTATCAGAGCGGGTTCTGGTCAGAGATCTGTTCTCGCTTCGGGTATGGTCTTGGATGTGTGTCTAGAAAGAGAGATTTGGATGAGTTTCATAAGGTTGAAGAAGCTTGTTGTAGAAGATGTGAAGATGGTCGAGATCAATCTGAGAGTGCTTCTTGTTCAGTTCCGCTGCGATCACATAGGTATGTGTATGATGATCTTGCTATTGCTTATGGTTAGTATTGGTTCATTGTATGAACTAGTCTGTGTTTAGTTGGTTGGATGTTATCTCTGCAAGTTGCTTCTAGAACTGCTACCATATCAAAAAGAGATTGTTATGTGCGTACGACAAGCTTAGATCTTGTTTATTGGCGACAGCGGTACCTTTTTGATGATGGGACAGCTTCTTCTGAGCCTCCGTCATCTACTGTCCGTGGCTTTTTCAAGGTGGTTTTCACTTCTATGTAGAAGTTTTGGCTTGACAGTGGAATCGTGGGTATTGGTGGCCTTTGGTTTGGGTTAAGGGAAAGTCTGATTTTTCTGTCTAAAGAAGATAGTGAAAGACTTATGAAATCTATGTGCTGAATTTGTATCATTGACCAGCCCCAAGTTGATTGAGGTTTTTGCAAAGTGTGCATGGTGTGTTAACTCCTTGAGGCTGATTTTGTTCTGGTCAAAAGAAAAGCTCTTTTAAGCATAGTTTTATCTTAGTTGTGCACTCAAACAGGGAGAGAATTAGGATTAGGCTGATGCAATCTGGATGTCATTGTTTTGGATTTATGCTTGATGCGATCTAAAGTTAGCTGCTTGGTGCATATGATGAGTTGGTTTATTCTTCTGTTTGGAGTGTGTTGATTGTTGCACAACAAGATGTTTAAGATGCACAAACTAAGCTAAAAAGGGAGAGATGTTGGTGTGTGTGCATAATCGGAGTTGATTTGAGTATCACGAGAATGATTTTATCTTTATTCACATGAGCCTGATGATCTGTGATTAAGGGAGAGCTTGAAGACAATCAAGGTATAAGAAACGGATCAGGAAAAACTCACCTGCAGTTCTTAGAGTCACACATGAAAATGAATGTGTGACACATCAACAGAGAGATAACCTAAGTTTCAGACGCCAGTTACAACTCAGTCATCAAGGCAGAGATTGTCAGTTTATTTATGATGCTGCTGAGTTGTAGAGCTGCTTGATCATTGTATGATACGTCACCGGAAAGTCTGAGACACACGAAGCAGAGTCACCGGATCAGATTTGTAGCAACATTTTAGACAAAGTCACAGAGTTTATAAGACAGGGCTGAAAGTTGAAGATCATTAAACTGTGATTTCAAAGTGAGCATGAGTTCTATAAACCAGTAACAAAGGGAGAGATTGTTGAGTATAGTTGTTACAGGTTCTAGACTCAAGATAAAGATGATGATTCATATCAAGGCGTTATGAAGAAGTTGATACATGAAGTGTCACACAAGCTGTCGTGTGTGTGACACAAGGATGAGTTGCCGTGAGAGCAACAAACAACGCAAGGATGATGACGTGGCTTTAGGGTCTTAGTGAGAAGATCCAATATGGTGAAAGCAACATGGACTTCGAGATAACAACAAGAAGTCATGTGGGCTTTATTTCAAAGAGAAGTCCAACTTCATGAGAAGGCTTGGAGACAATAGACTTAGGGTTTTTGTCCTCTTTGAGATTAAATATGTTAAGGGGGTGTCTGCAAAAGTTACGCACGTTGAGGTCTATTGCAAGAGGCACACATGTTGTTTGTGGTGTCGTCCCACCACTTTGGTGGTTAGGAGAACTACACTCGTGGAAAAGACAATAGGTGGTAGTTACTCATATCATTGTAATTCTAGGAAAGAGTGGTGGATACCATATACTTCGAGATAACAACAAGAATTCATGTGGGCTTTATTTCAAAGAGAAGTCCAACTTCATGAGAAGGCTTGGAGACAATAGACTTAGGGTTTTTGTCCTCTTTGAGTTTAAATATGTTAAGGTGGTGGCTGCAAAAGTTACGCACCTTGAGGTCTATTGCAAGAGGCACACATGTTGTGTGTGGTGTCGTCCCACCAGTTTGGTGGTTAGGAGAACTACACTCGTCGGAAAAGACAATAGGTGGTAGTTGCTCATATCATTGTAATTCTAGGAAAGAGTGGTGGATGCCATATAACATGTTCTCGTTGTTGGTCTTGTGTCCCAAGGTATTGATGACCAGCACAGCTTGGTTGGGTAACATTTTGTCTATCACTAGTTTCTTCCGGAGGAAACTCATCTGAACGACACTCTTGACGAAGATAATTATGCAATGCAGCACATGCAAGCACTAATTCTGCTTGTGTCTCATATGGAAAGCTAGGTGGAGATTTGAATATCAAAAATCTGGATTTGAAAATAACAAAAATCCTTTCAATGACATTTCTCAAACAAGCATGACGGTGGTTGAACAATTCTTCTTTATTTTTGGGATCACTGTCTCCTCCAGTATATTCTTTAAGATGATAACGAGTGCTTCGAAATGGAGTAAGAAAATTACTTCGGTTGGCATACCCACAATCAGCTAGATAAAATTTTCCTAAAAAATGTTGAACTTTAATATAAATTGAAGTCATCAAATTATAAAGAAATTTTATCTTCATACATAAAATATTTGTTGGTAAAGAGTAATGTGTACCTTTTGGGACTTCAAATCTATTGTTACGTCTTGTTAAAGCATCATTTAACACTTTAGCATCATGAGCTGAACCCTCCCAACCGGTAAGGACATATATGAATTGCAAATCAAAGTTGCATGCAGCTAGCACATTCTGGGACAAAATTCATTTTCTGTTTTGATATCTACCAGTTTCATTTCCTACTATCATAGCAGGAATATGTGTTCCATCAATAGCTCCAATACAATCCTAAAAAAGATCAAAATTATTTGCTAATAAAATTGAACAAAACAAGCAATTGGAAAAAAAATCTTACGTACCTTAAAGTAGGGATAATATCTTGTACTTTCTCTTATTTTGAAGGTACAACATTTCCTGGTTTGATCATCCAACTTGGGCCAGTGGTGTTTAACACCTTTAATATTTTATTAAAACTCCGGCTTATTGTGAAACTTGATCTCTTGAACACATCTTGCGGAAGAATATATCTCGAGCTCTGGCCAACAATGAGCAAAAATGTGGCAAGCATTTCCTCAACTGAAACCCATCTAGTATCTCTTAAAGATGTCTTTTGTCGGATAATGGTGCACAACTTCAAGAAAGCCTCTGAATTCATACGATACAAACTCCGAAAATGTTCTGAATCCTCATCTAGAACCTTTTGTATATATCGATGTCCCAGACTTGTAGTTGGCTTTTTAATTGGACGATGAACTTGTGACAGTAAATATTGTGTTAGGAAGCAGATCCTCGCATTGATAGTTGACAGCAACAAAATTATATCCACGTCTGATTGAAAACTCCTTGATCTCTTTCTATTTTTCCTTAATTGTAGTTCTTCTCTCTGTTGGATTGCTTGATCCATAACTAGAGAATCTGATGCAAAAAAAAGTATGATGGAAACACAAGATTAGGTAAAACTTATGAAAGCTTTAGCTAGCTAGTCCGAACCGTATCTACAACACTAAAGTGTTTTACTTTTAGTAAATTAGATTTTGTACAAGAGTATTCAAATCGTTAAAGGAACATTGTCTTCATATTGTTAAAATTCGCGAGCTGAGTAAGGAATGAGTTCCTGTATAAATTCGTTCATTGCAAACCATGTCAAGACTATTATTATTGATCTAATGTTCTTTCCTAATTGTTCGTTAAAACTAAGGCAAGATATTTTCAATTAAAAATAGTAGAGAAAGAAAAATCATACCAGTTCTTCTCGAAGATGTCTAACTTCGTAGACGTGGAAAGTGACCACAATCTTCTTTACCTGCTCAAGTGACATATGTGTAAGATCAGTGACTCATCTCTTATAACTAGAGCCACACAAAAAAAAAAGACTGTAAAAATTAACATGATGAAGAAAAAATTGTTTAGACAAAATACAACAGCTTGATAAAAAGCTATTGTATGTAAGTTCTTTATTATTTAGAAGCAACTACACAAAAAGAGATACCAAATCAGAAATTAAAAACACCATGACAAAGCATAAAGATCATTTAAAAAAAAAAACCAATATAACTAAACTAATCTAAGAACATGATAATTCTTCCACCACCAACTTCAAGGCTTGTGCACGCTACGTTTAATCCATTCACGACGTTCATCTATAGTCATCTTCACAAACCCAGCCTTCATACCTAACTGGTGAACTAAGTTCATAGCATCAAAACGTTCATTTTCCTCTAAGTCAGGAACTTCCTTAATAGCATCCCATACATTATCATTTTTTTCCTCAGCTTGTTTCTCTTCAGCTTCTTTCTGCCATCTTTGTTGTATCATACTAAACATCTGGTTATTCATTCCAGTAACTGCACTTATCTCATCAGAAATTTTCTCCACGTTGAATCTCTTAGTCCTAGCTTTCTTCCTTATCGGGAGCTTTCCGTTTGCATTCCTTTGTGACGAAGATGAAATAACTTGTTCTATTCCATCATTATTATCATCATCCTCATCATCATCACCCATCATTTGAGGAGTATATCCACCTTGGTAGTCCCATTCACTATTTTCTGCTCCATAAGTACGAGCATCTGTGGCATCACCTAAACCCATTGCATTCTTTCCAATTGCTACATTCTTCCCATAGATCGTGTGTAGATCCTCATAATCTTCAAATGAGTTGTCACGTAAGTGTTTATCTTTCCGATGTTCCTATTATGAAAAACAAAAATATTATCATGTAAGACAAAAAGATGTGCATAATCAAATCATGTACTATGCTTTTAACAAATTATTTTACCTTGAAATATTCTTCCCATACTTCATCTGGAGCAGTGAACTTCTTTGTCTCCGAATCCCAACCAAATCCAGAACTAAAACGTAGAAGATCGGCATAACTCTTGTACTTACCCCTCAGAATCTTCGTTCGGTTTTTGTAATGGAGCAGAGTTTTCTTAGATCCGCAAATTCTGTTTAGCTCTGGTAGTATTCTTTGCTCCACGGTAAGTTTACTGAATGAACCATTCTGATCAGCCCAGTTCTGATTGACACCATCGACCAACAAACGCAACAATGTTTTGGTTTCGTGAGTAGACCAAGGAAGATACGGATTTTTACTTTTGCTTTCTTGTGTATCTTCCATTGATTGTGAGAGATAGCTACCCAATCAATTCACTATTATCAGGAAAATTATATAGAACGTTGAGAAAAATCCAAGAACAACAACACACAATCGTATAGTTCAATATCAAAAACAAGTTTGATCACAAAACATTCATTACTATGTAAAAAAATACACACAAATGATAGAGACAAGAACTTTTACCTTTTTTTCTCAAAAACCCTAATGCTAATTTTTCTGGTAAAGTGTGGCGTTTGGAGACTGGTACATTATCTATTTATATTCAATTAACTAACAAGAAGAAGATAATCTCAAACAGTTCTTGTGAAATCAAAGAAAATATTTTTATCATTATCAAGATCATAAAAATTCTGGTGTGTCGTGTGATAAGAAAAAGAAAATGGTAGTTCAATTGTTTAATAATCAAATCTCATCTCAGGTGGTATTTGAATCTGTATATTTTTAACTAAAAATATTTTACAAATCACTCAAAACAGTTTTCTATAGATTTTCATGATGAAATCCCAATTTTCCAATAAGGTGGGATTTTAAGGGATTTGTATAAATGATCAATTCAATAAGCCAGAATTTGGAATGATTTTTGTAAATACTAGATCCAATAAGAGGGGATTTGAAAAAAAAAAAAAAATCTTCTCAAATCATCAATTCAATAAGCCCCCCTTAGGCATAGGACATCGGTGGATTTCGATTTTTCGAGTTAAGTGATATAGAAACCAATATCTATATCTTTGGATTTGGGTTTGGGTTTGGGTTCTTTTTTTATCGAATTTGGGTTTAGAATCAGGTTTGGAGTAAAAATCACAGGCCTAACAGGAACCAATGTTTACCCGAAATTTGTTTGGGTCAAGATCGGTTCAGGTATTGTGTATTCGAATATGCCCAAAATATTGAACCTACCTGTTCGGTTCTCGGGATAAGAAAAACCTGGAATTGGATTCTAAATTGACGGTTAGTATGAGATACCCAAACCGAACCGATTTTGGCTGAGAACCATTTTGGTACATAACCGACCAGAATCGGTTTGTTTTTTCTGGTTTGAAATTTCGGGGTCCATGTTATTCAGGAAAGAAAAGAGTAAAAGACTATGCTTTTTTGTCTTTAGAAGACGACCAGAAAAGGAATAGATAGTCAACCAAAATAGTACAAAATTGGTTTAAAAAGGAAAATGAGATAAATAGTTTCCTTATCTAGTGAAACTAGACTAGTTTAAAGAGTGGTTGGTAAGCCCAGTTTTTCAACCTTTTTTGGGTTCACCGGAAACATTCACCATAGTTTTTTTTTTTGTTCAAATAACTCCTTTCATTAATTGCCAACTGTTCACTCTCCCAAGAGGAGACTTTGGAGAGATCGCTTCGCTAGAGCGTCTGCTACAATGTTTTCAGATCTTGGGATTGAGCCGAAAATTACAGAGTTAAAACATGAAGATAGAAAGGAGATGTCTTGCAAGATTCCGAAGATCTCCGATAGGCATGACTTCGAGTTGATGGCGGTGATGAGCTGTTGGGAATCTGAAGCCACATGCAGATTGTTGAAGCCGAGGTCGAGAGCCTGTCGCAGAGCCTGACGGATTGCCAGTCCCTCTGCAATTAGCGGTGAAGCTATGTTCGCAAACGCTTTGAATCCCTGGTTTAGTGTCTCCGAGGTACTCTTGTGGAAGATCCAGGCCGTTCCTCCGGATCTATGCTCTCCGTTCCAAGCTCCATCCGTCTGACATCGGACATAGTGTCCCGGGAGATTTACTCTTGTATCTCTCTTTGGTAGAGGGTGGGGTAACGCCGTCTCGTTTTGTGCTTGGATCCACTCCCTTGCTCGGATTATTGCGAGATTCAGTGTTCCATAGGCACTTAGATTGCTGGCGTTGAAGAGCTTGTTGTTCCTGCTCAGCCAGATACTCCAGAGGATCCACGGAGCTAAGGATTCCCCTTTGATTCCTAATGGTGGTAGGCAAACAATTGTCTTCAGCTTTGAGATTCCCTCCTTTACACTCGTGATTGCTCTTGGGGAAAAGGGTTCACGAAAAGGGGCTTCGTTCCACACCACTTGAGCAAATCTACAATGAAACAACAAGTGGAGCGTTGTCTCTGGTTCTCCACAATGGATACATTTCGATTGCACAATCATTCCTCTTGCTGCTAAGTTTTCTACAACTGGTAATGCTCCTTTAACTGATTTCCAGATAAACAATTTTAGTTTTGGAGCATAGAGACCTTTCCAAATATCCGTTACCCAATTGAAGTTTCCATTTGCAGGATTGAAAGCCGCTTCCTCCGGGTTTCGTTCTCTAGCCGTGTGATATCCTGTCTTAACGGAATATTCACCATTAGTCTGAGGGAGCCACGCCAGTCTATCTTCCGTCACATAAATTCCAGGTATGATTCCTAGGATCTCCTTCTCATACGCCGGTAGTACTCTTCTTATCAAGTTCACATTCCAAACCCTAGAATTTGGTAGGAACAGATCTTTTACTTTGAGGTCTTTAAACTCCCGTGGAGCTGGTCCCACAGGTATTATAGGCTCTTTTGTAGAAAGCCATGGATCTCCACATACACTTGTGGTTTCTCCGTTTCCAATCACCTTCCCCAGTTTTTCTTTTAGAAGCCTTTGCCCAATCATTATTCCCCTCCATCCATGTGATCCTCCTTCAGTCATAGCGCAGTCTAGGAAGGGCTGATTAGGGAAGTATTTGCCTTTCAGGATACGGGCTAGAAGGCATTCCAGGTTTTTGAGTATTCGCCAGCTTAGTTTACTGAGGAGGGCGTCATTGAAGTCTTGGATGTCCCGGATACCCAATCCGCCATCTCTCTTTCCCCGAGTAAGTTTATTCCACGCCACCCAACACATCTTTTTTTTCTCAGGGTTTGCATCCCACCAGAATCTAGTTAGAACTGATTGGATCCTTTTACTGAGACTTACTGGGATTTTGAAACAGGACATCGAGTATGTGGGCATAGATGATAGCACTGATTTGAGCATCACTAGTTTCCCTGCACTCGAGAGTAGTTTGGATGACCAAGATATGGCGCGTTGTCTGATCCTGTCCACAACTGAGTTTAAGAGATCTTTCTTTTTCCTTCCAAAAGCTTCAGGAAGTCCTAGGTACTTTCCTTTGCCTCCTTCTTGTTGAATTCCTAAAATTCTCATTGCTTTCCTTTTGATCTCATTCGATGTCTTGCTGGAAAAGGTAATAGCCGACTTTTGACAACTTATCATTTGTCCTGATGCCTCTTCGTATTTGCGCAGGATCTCTTTCAAGGCTTTACAAGTTTTCTCATTGGATTTGCAGAAAAACATTGTATCATCAGCGAAAAGTAAGTGATTTACTTTTGGGCTTCCATTGGCAACTCTTATGCCTGATAATTGACCGGTTTCTTGAGCTTTGTTGCACAGGCCAGATAAGACTTCGCTACACAGGATGAAGAGGTATGGTGAGAGTGGATCTCCTTGGCGGATACCTCTTGTAGGTTTGACGTTGCCTATCGCGGTTCCATTGAGCAGGAATTTAAAGGTAACCGAAGTCACACATTGCATGATCCATCCAATTAAAATGGAGTGAAAACCCATCTTTTCCAACACCAGTCTAATGAAATCCCACTCCACACGATCATAAGCTTTTGTCATGTCTGTTTTAATGGTCATTGATCCTCTTTTGTTCGCTTTTGAAATTTTCAGGAAGTGGAGGATCTCATGAGTGATCATCACATTGTCCGCAATTGCTCTTCCGGGTACAAACGCTGACTGATTCTCAGATATTAAGCCATCAAGGATCGGTTGTAGTCTTGCGGTAATGATATTCGAGAAAATCTTGTAATAAACATTGCACAATGCTATTGGCCTATAGTCTGCCACTGACTTGGGATTTGTTTTCTTTGGAATTAGGCATATGTGCGTGGCGTTTATGTTTTGAGGGAAAACACCAGATCTGAAAGCCTCCTGGATCTCGAGGGTGATACGTTCGCCAATTGTTCCCCAATTAGAGTGGAAGAAACTCGCTGAGAAGCCATCCGGTCCCGGGGCCTTATCTGGATGGATCAAGAAGATTGCCGCATTAACCTCTTGTGGGCTTGGTATTTGAATTAGCCGTCTATTAGTTTCCTCCGAGATGCTTGGTGTAATCCCCTGGTTCACTGTCTCTGCTCTGGATCCCGCCTGAGAGGTAAACATTTTCTCAAAGTACTTTGTGATGACCTCTGCTATTTTTGCTTCCTCATAGACTGTCTTTCCCTCATCATCTTCAATCACTGAGATGTTATTGCGTGCTCTTCTTCCTCTGGTTGCAGCATGGAAATAACCACTATTTTTGTCGCCTAGACTGAGCCACATTTGCTTACTGCGTTGCCTCCAGTATTCCTCTTCAGCCTCGTAAGCTCCTTTTAGTTTTTTATTAATCTGACGGATTATAATGTCATTGGACTCATTGCTTGTCATGGCTTCCTCTAACTCTCTTCGTTTTTCCTCTATCTGTTGTTGGCTATTCCGATGATGGTTCCTGTGCCATTGGATGATAGCTTTTCTACAGTTGGAGATTCTCATTTCCACATCTGCTCGAGGGTTTGTGTTCCAACACTCTTCAATTAACGCTTTAACCTCTTCATTGTTTCTCAGACTTCTATCATAACGGAACAGCCCTTTTTTCCTTTTTTTCACAGCTTGAAAGGTAGTGATTAAGGGTCTGTGATCAGATCCCTCAAACTTCAAATATTCACTTCGACCAGACGGGTAAGCTTCAATCCAGTAGCTATTTGCCATTGCTCTATCCAGTCTACAACGCACTAAATGATTTCGTCTTTTGCCTCTCCACGACAGGAAGTTACCCGAGAATCTTAAGTCAAAGAGATCACATTCTGACATAAAGGATCGAAACTCTACAAAGGAGCCTTCCGTTCTAGCTGGACCACCCTGCTTCTCTGAGTTGTCGAGAATTTCATTGAAGTCTCCTGTGAGGAACCATGGCGCTTCACGGTTTTCAGCTCTCTCCCTTATTGCTCTCCATATTTCTGCTCTTCCGTCTCTTTTTGGGTCGCCATAGACAAAGGTAGCATAAAATTTCTCTCCCTTAAATCTCACTTCAGAGTCGATAAAGTTATCGCATTTGTGGAGGATATTTACTTCAACTTCTTTTTTCCAGAGCAGTGCTAAGCCTCCTCCTCTTGCGTATGGTGGCACCATTTCAAGGTAATCATAGTTTAACTGTTTCAGCTCTTTGAGAACGAATGAATTTCCATTTTTCGTCTCCATGAGGAATATTATCTCAGGAAAATCATGCTTCTTTTTTATTTCCTGCAGACTACGAACTGCCCCGGGATTCCCCAAACCACGGCAGTTCCAGCTCAGAATTTTTAAGGTGGAAGATGGGACGGATTCTGAAAATCCATCTTCTTCTTCAAGGTTGCAGGGACTATGTTGCAGCGAGGCGGCTCTTGGGGCGTCTGTGATTGAGATGGACCAGATAAGTTCTAATTTTTCCTCCTTGATGTACTTCCCGTTGTATATTTCCTCTTTGGTGATATTTTCACTTGAGCCACTTTCCTTATCTTTGGATTTGAAGCTCTTTCTGGTAATGATAGTGGCAAGCCTTTTTTCTTGTTAGGTGGTCTTCCCAAACGCTTCTTTGCCGGTATTCTTGGTGGTTCCTCCGTTATCGGGATCTCTGTCAGAACTGGACCAAGTCGCAGAGTTGCATGTACTCGCTCGTGCATAAGGGGTTCCAGCATTTCCTCCTCTTGGATTTGGGTTTGAGCTCGGATGGAGTGTCTCACCATCTGTTCTGCTGTTTGGTCCACTTCACCTCGCTCTTCCGCTATTCTCAATCTCTCTTTCCTTGCTGCACTTTCATTTGGATCCGCACAGTTTGCGTATTGAGCCATGACTTCGCGTACTTCTCCTCTTGCTTCCCTCAAAGCTTCGGTAGGTAAAACAGCTCTTGGTGTTCTCAGTTCCTCACTCCGGTTTGATCTCCTAGAGTGTGACGATTCAACTGGGGATCTTCTGCCTTGTTCCCGCTGAAGGCTCCTATTCTCCGATCTTTGATTTCCTCTATACGGCTCTGGGCTCTTTTCAACCCCTATGTCTCTGATTGCAGAGTCTGCTAGCACGGAATTGGAGATTCGTCGTCCTGTTTCAACCCATCTCTGCTCCTGTCCATGATGGCTTGGTCGGTTCCCGAGGTAGCTTCCTCTAGACCCCGTATGGTTACAAGAGTACCTGCTTCTGTCAGAGTATGAGAGATTCCTCCTTGGTTCTCTCATGGGATTGTCTCTGTGATCTCTTCCAGACACTTGCTGCGATCTTTCACTACGGTCCCTTTGATTCCAGGTATCAGGCGTCTTTCTTCTTTCAGTGGGTATACTATCTCATCTCTCTTACGCTTCACACCTGAGCTAATGTTACAGATAGATGTTCCAGTTCCTCTTCTTTGTGGTAAAGGAGGAAGCTTTCCGGTTTCTTCCTCTCCCTTTGTCAGTTCTGGGCATTCCTCTTTCTCATGATCCAGCATCGAGCAATGGCTACAGTGCTTCTCCAGTTTTTCATATACGAGAGTGGCTACCACTTCATCTCCATTAGCAAACTCCAAGGTATAAGTTTTGAGTAGAGGTAAGAGTCCATTGACATGAACTCTCATTTTGGCGTGAGCCTTCGTTATTTCCCATTTTTCCATCGTCCCCAGATCTTCTGTGATACTTCTCAGCATAGCTTCATTCCACATGTGCACTGGTACTCCTTGAACTTTTATCCAAAAGGGGATGAGCGAGGGGAAGGATCTAGAAACTGTCGGTTACCACTGCTGTATGATGAGCATCCAGTGTGCGTAGTGGTAAGGTCTGTTTTCCAGCACCATTTCCATATCTTCTTTTGTTTCAAAGGTGAACTGAAAAGATCCCTGGCCCAGATCTGCTCCTACCGGAGGTGAGCTTGTCTTCCAATGTTCAGAGAAGAACGGGAGGAGTGACCATAACCGTTGGATCTTCGGGTTTGTTAGTCTTCCGATTATGGTGAGATTGTGTTGCTTCATCAGCTCTGAGATGTCAAAGTCAGGGACTTTTACTCTTCCAACTCGAGGTGGTTCAGTAGGAGGTACCACTCCCTTCCCTTTTTCAGTTTGAGTAAACCGTCTCGCCATTGTTGTTTTAGCTTGTCGAAAACTTGACTTGACTGTAGTTTTTAGAGAGTTTCAACACCACTAGGGTGAGAGTTTTCTTGAAAGATAGAGTTCTTCCAAGTAATTTCTGAATAGGCTCAAAATATACCCAAGTGCACTATAATACAATCTTTGAGGTTAGTAAGGCTAGAAATGAGCTTTCATACCAGAGAGATTTGTAGGTTCCTTGGGTGGGAAAAGCTTCGGAGACTTGTGTAGCTTGCTAGTGCTTGAGATCTGAGCTAAAGCGGCTTCTTGTCATGGTTTAGGAGGCTTACCGGCGGCGATGAGGACCCTCCGACTCTAAGTCGGGGGTGGAACCCGGGCGCGTGAAACCAAGGTCCTAGGGTTTTTGAAAAAACCTTCTAAAACAGGAAAAAAACGCCGGATAAAAGGAAGTACGAAAAGGACATGAGTTGACTCTAAGGCTGCCTCGCAAAACGTGCCTGGGAGAGAAAGCCTTCGCAGGGAGACGTTATTCTATTTGTGTTATACACACATTCACCATAGTTAATATGTGTTTCTGCTGATATGGATTTAAAATGTTGTTTGATGATTGATTGCTGACATTAACAATACCCCACGTAATATTCCAAATGGCAGGGATTTTTTAGGCGTAATACTATGTGATACAGCATCACAAAGAGAACATCACTAGGATGGGTACAATTCACAAGATCACAACTACAAAAAAAAAACATGAAAATATAGTAAGTCTATAAAGACTTAGTTTAGTTTTTGATCAAAAAGGGACATAAGAACATGGTGGGAAAAAAAAATGAATGTAAAGGAGATCATGCAAGAAACAAACAAGTTTTTTTGTATAATATTATATATATTCTCGTTCTTTCTCTTTGCCACATGCACGTACTACTGGCCCTTTCTGGATCTGCATCGAACTTGGAACATAAGAGCACATAATTGGCAGATGATTAGATTCCCCGAGAACCATTTCTTTGTAGTATCCATTCTCTTTAATCAAGTAAGCTATGTTGCCGTTTCTAACACAAACCACTACGACTTTCTTGTCTTCATCAATAAAGAAACTCCCACTTTGAACTGAAACATTTTTTACCCGAGACAGGATTGGTTGATCCTTTACTACCATGAACTTCTTCCAAGATGCTGCATCAGGCTCGATCTTATCTGTAATCCATACTTCCATCACATTTGTATCCCTACGCATAAGTAACACTGAAATCTGCTCTTCTCTAACAGAAGATAGAGTCTGAGTATCGTTTCTAACATCACAATCAAACGGTAGATAAAGACGCGGTCCAAATCTCTCTCTTGTAAAATCAAAACAGACCAAAAAAAGTTTTTTCTCTTCTAATCTTCCCCGAGAAAGAAAGTACGTATCTCCCTTCAAAGATATACCGCGTTGATAATAATCTATATGCCAACTATCGGGAGTGACATCAATAACCCTCCATGAATTGGACTTAAAATTGTAGATGTGATAATCAACAATTCGTTCGTCAGTTCTAGCTACGTAACCAATCCAAAACCTGAAGATCTTGTAGTTGTTGTTGCTCTTGTCATATCCAATAGAGTAGTAATCTGAGATATCGAATTTTTTTCTTGGTTGGATCCACCTGACTTGCCCCAAATACGGGTTCCACACCACAAGCTTGCAGTCCCTTGTGCCGCATAACAATAAGCCGTCACAGTGAAAGACTTTATTTATCATGACTTGGTTTAAAAAGTTACCTATCTTCTTTGAAGATGGATCAACCAAGTCTTCGTGGTTATGGATTCCATGGAGATTAACACTTGTTAAATTAATCACACGATCATAAATCATGATCATCAGAAACCCTTTGGCTGCTTTACACAATTGCTTCTCTGTAAAGCTGTGATTTTTGGTTAAATCGTTCCATCCTTTGCATGTTGACCTTGCCTCTCTTAGAGATATTATCGGAACCCTAGAGAGTATCTCCTCTACCAAATCCAGCGAAAGATTGGACATCATCGTCGTCTTTTGTCAAATAAAAATTAGGGTTTGTAACTTGCCTTGTACTCTTTTTATATAATACAAAGAGACATCTTCCGCTTTTTTTTAAAAAAAAGAGGGTTTCCTTTTCCAATGTAAACAAGAAATTTTACCTTTTTACATTGGAGCAATCTCCCTTCCATGGGGCTACCTCGAGCTTCATCATCATTGAGTTTGTTGAGTGTATATTTTCTTGATTGTATTAAGCTTTGTTCTTCTTGTATGACATTTATCTACTCTTCTTGACTCACATCTCAAATAAAGAATATTAACGACCACAGAATAAAAGGTTGTGTTACTTGTGCAGTAATCCAGCAAGTGTTTTATTTAAGGGGGAAAAAAGCAAAGATTTTAACAACAATAAAAAACACCACAGAGTTAAGATTGTGTGATTTAAAAATCTCAGCAATTATAGCTTAGAGTTTCTCATTTTTTGGCTTCTTGAGGAGTAAGTTTCCAAAAGCTGTGGTCAATGCAGTGGATGTCGTCAGTGAAGCTCTTAGTAAACCAATAGCCTGAAATGTATTAGTGTCACATTCAGTATAAGAGACATACCACTGTTTAGAATATTGGTGAAAAATGTTTATTATTTTATTAGAGACATACCTCTGTTTTGCTTATGTTGATTACATGCTCCTCAATGTCATCCAAGTCTACATTCCACTTCTTCAATATGCAAATAATTGAAGAAGAGTTTTTTAGCTGAGATAGTAAGATCATCTGAAATCATGTACGTTGTACCTCTCCTTACAAGCCCGCTGCTACTATGAATCGTTGACTCTCCACTTCCATCATAATTTGGATACATCAGTTTCAAATCATACCTTTGATAGTTTATTGTCACTGACCACGGGATGGAAACTTTCCTAGAGATACCAAGCAACGGTGCTTGGAAGCTATAGTTCAAAGGAAGCATAGTCGATGAATGATGTGTGGCTTGACTAGAGCTCAAGCTCTTCTTGCTTTTACATAAGTTGTCAATACATTCGAGTTCGATATTGTTTCCAGATATTCCCCACACTAACTCCAAAGGGACAGCCAAGAAAATGAGTAGTAGATCCACAAAGTCTTGTCCGCTTTCGGCATAAAGAACTTTCTTGTCTTGCTTCCTAACAAATAGAGTGACTGAGAGTTGTTGTTCATTTGATTCTTCTTCTTTACCTCCATCTTGCAGGGCGGCTAAGCTTGCCATGTTAGGCGTCTTTGTAATGATACATGAGCTCCGTTTCATCAAGAACGCATCAGTCAAGGGAGTATCCGAAGAGAGTAAGCATTCCAGCAAAGCTAGTACCTAGATTTATATTTTCAAGATATTAAAAAGCAAACAAGATCTAAGTAATGACATTCAAAAAGCGATATGCATAAAGAGAAAAAAAACAAAATAAATGTAGTTACCTCTTTGTGACCAACGTCTACAAGCATCTCATCCAACTTATCAAGATCTGTGTGACCGAGCTCTCTAATTGTTTTTAAGGCGAGAGAAATGGAACTGAATCCAACTTTCATATTGTCGGAAATGATGAAAGACTTGTTGTCGCTGACAAATATTTCCTCACGAACACCTTCATTTGCTATAATCTCCTGTTTCATAAACTTGCCACAAACACATTTTAAGGAGTAGAAATTACTATAAGCCTTGGAGCATGACTGCGAATTTCCCAAATCCGGGCACCTATAGTACTTCAAGATTGGGGTGTCGTCGATGTTAAGCTTAAGCCGTTTGCATTGACTCACTTTCACGTGCATCGGATACAAAAGTATATGTTTACAAGCCTCAGTCAAGAAATCATCGTTGCTCATATCAACAACACTTTTGTAGAGATTGTTGAAACAACCTATTTTAGTTGCGGCGGCTGGAGACTTTTGATTATGGTGATGTTTCTGCAGAAATCTCACAATGGTACCTATTGGCAGTATCAAAAAACTGAAGAGCACATCAACAAAATCTTTACCAACCTCAGCCAAGACAACCTTGTTTTTCTCCTTGTCGACAAGAAGTTTCAGCCTTATTGTTGGTTCCTCGGAAAACTCAGTTCCAGCCATTGATAACAACTTTACCAACAAAAAAAATAGTAGTAGTAGTCAAAAATTTCTTCAAAGGTGGTTTCAAGTCGAAAGGTTTTTTGTTTATTTCACTGACGGCACAAACCGATATATATATATATAGTCATATAGACATGTTACACAACACACAATTTGACCTAGCTTCTTTAGAATTTTACATACATCGAAAAGGGTACATTTGCCCATATATATTTATAAATTTATGTTTTTTTAATAGACTTGGGAGTCCCAAAGTTGCATGCTTCCCAAAAAAACTTTTTGATTGAATCAGAAATTAAAACCTTTGACCTTCCATCTTCCAAATGACTGCTTGACGAGGCATACCGAATAAATTAAAGGATGTAATTAATTTAGGGTTCACGTTATTAACTGGCAAATGATGGGGGATTAATCTCTTCGACTTCATTATCCTTTTTTTTTTTTTTGAAGAATGTTATTTGTTCTTTCAAAAAAAGCCTTTTGTACAAAGAATGCAAACTTTAGTTTGAGTTTTTTTAAGAAAGTTAAAAACATACTAGTATCTTCTTTTTAGTGACAAACCACTTGATGAGTCCACCATCATCCTCGTATTTGTGATGCCCCGAGAATTTTAAATAATCAAAATTTGAACTTAAATAATAATAAAAACATAAGAGTCTTATGAGAAAATGATTGGTCGTTGACTCATTCGTACTCTTTTGCTGTTATGTGCTTAATTCAAAAAGTATAACTCAATTTTTAAGTCTTCTTCATTATCAAGTTTGTCGAGTGTATACTTTCTTGATTGTATAACCTTTGTTTTTTGATTGTATGAGATATATCTAATCTTCATCTTCTCCGTAATCACCAAGAACCTTGATCAACAAACAAACTGTATGCATTGATTTTAAAGCTTATATGTTGCCGATTCTACAAGATAAATGAGTCTTATAGGTTAATGAAACTATAGAAACTTTGTTCTTCAAACACACAAATCCTTATATTATATACATTTGCAACTTCCAATTTCATTTATGTACAGTCTCACCACAACAAATCAGACCCAAACATGTAAAACAAACACCAACCTTTTTTTAAACATCTCTTCCTCAGAAAAACCCTAATTCCCTAAACAGATTTGCTGAGTAAAGCTTTCGACGAAACCCAAATCCAATTCTTTACCTCCCATGTACTTCTCGTCAAGAACTTGTTGAATCTTCTTCACAACCATCTTCGTCTCATCACTAACTTGACCATTCTTAAGCATCGTAGCTAAACGTGACACATTTTCATAATCAGCCTCACGAAACCTAATAGCCTCTCTAGAAACTTTCTTCACAAGCAACCAAAGCCCTTTACGCACAAGAGTCTCCTTTTCACGCTCCTTAACCGATTTCACAATCTCGTAAACCATATCTCCAATCACATCTCTCCTCTTCAAATTACTCGCCTGAAGCACTAAACCGAACCCAGATTCCAAACCCAAACACCAATCTCCATCAGAACCGGGATTTCTCAACCGGTTTACGATCTTTCCCTGAAGACCATCCTCCAATAACCTGTCCAAGAAAGCTTCGTCGAGAAGAGACGGCAATTCACTGAACATCACAAGCTCTCTCTCGTCGTCTTCGTCGATAATAAAATCACAGAGCTCGTCCCAAGAGATGTTATTGATGAAGAGATCGACGGAGACGCGAGAGACGATTCTCGAAAGGAGTTTGAAATCGGTTTCTTGGTGAAGAAGAAGACAAGCGTTGAGTTGCTCTTTGATGTCGAGCAACGCCTCTGTTTTCAATTCTTTACCTGAGAATTCGAGATCTTCGAGAATCGAGTCGAGGAGCGTGAGGGTGTGAGATCGGACGCAGGAGATGGTCTTGGATCTGTAGACTTGGAGGAGTTTCACGATTAGGAGATTCGGGAAATGCGTTTTGAATGATTCGTAGAGACGATTCGGTGATTCGTCGTCTTCGGTTTGTTTCCCGATGCAGATGTTCGTGACGAGTTTCGTGATCTCTGTGTTCTCGCGTTTGGCGAGAAGCTCTTTCGCTTTTCTCGCGATGTCGAGCGGATGAAGTGTTTCGGAGGTGGATGGTTTATCGAGAAGATTCATGATGGTAAAAGAGAGAAAATCCTGGGGAAATCGGATTTTCCCGAGAAAATAAGCGAGAAAGTGTGTAGTGTGTTTCTGAGAGAGAGGGATAAATCATAAACAGAAGAAATTTGAGGAATCTTCTTCGTATAGATTCGATTTGGTGACTCTTGCTTCTTTATGATAAATGACTAAATTACCCCTTTGAGGTGTTGAGCACGCGCCAAATTTTGTTTTTTTCATGAGAAACCAAACTAGACCGAATCTATCTAAACCGGAATCAGGAATCAGGAATCAGAACCTTAACCAAATTTTGCTACAGTATAATCATCTTAATGGTATTCAAATTTATTTATTGAATTATATGAACCGAGCAATTTTTTTTTTTTTTTTAAATGGAACTGAACTAATTAAATTAATCACAATTGATTAAAACTTAATATTATAAAATTTATAGATATGAGTACATTTAAAATTCATAATATCATTTAAAAGTTAAAGCTAAATTTTATTTTCGTCTTATTTACTTTTTGTTTCTTGAATCTCCAAGCATGCATGTGTAACAACTAATATAAAAAAACAAAAAGTGTATCATGCATGCTTGGAGATCTTTTCCTTGAATCCTTTCATTGCTTTTTTTTTGGTCCTTTGCTTAACTTGTTCATAGTTTCATACACATACATCTTTAACTTGTTCATTGTTTCCTTATTTGCTTTCTCTGCTTAGGTTTTAATTTTGTTTGTTTACATTTACTTAACATGTTTGCTGCTTAACAGAAAACCTAAAAAAATAATTGTTTGCTGCTTAATCACTTCCTTGATTCATGCTTTGTTCACTCGCCCAACTCATATGTCCTTACTTTTTACTTCATTTTGTATTGTGCTTTTTTTTTACTTTGTTTTGGTTTCAAATTAGTAGTCGGTTACAAATTAACTTCTTTTTCTTCAAATTATCTGTTTTTACTGCAAAATTATGAAAAAACGTTTCACTTTTATTTTTATTACTAGATTAAGGCCCGCGTATACGCGGGTATATTTTAAGATTTTATAATAAAAGCATGGAAAATATTAAACAAAATTTGATCATTTTTAAACGTAAACAAAATAATATTGAAAACCCGATAAAAATATTTAAATAAAATAAGATTGGTAATACTTTTACATTTTTATTGTAATTGATTTTTCTTTTGAATTTATGATATGACAAAATGAATTAATTTGTTTTACTATTATTTTTATCCAATACAGAAAGACTTACACATGTCTAAATCTGATCAACTGATTAATTAATCAAACTTTTATTATTCCATTCAAGAGATTTTAATTGATGAAATCTTTATTTCAATTTTTTTACCTAACAAAAATTGAAAATCAAACTATTTAAAATTAGAATATCAATTATAATTTTTTAATATTAGTTAATTGCTTGATAATTATTTTGTTAGTTTTCTATTTATATTTTTTCTTTCTCAATTTTGTTTTTGCCTCAGACCATTATAAATACTATATATTGGTATTTTTCCTTTTCGAAATGGATTTTTTTCCTTTTCTTAATAGATGTAACAAAAGAATTTAAATTATTTGTTTCCTGTTTTTTTATTACTTTTAATGGATGTATTATTTTTTTCATTTTAATTATTTGTTATCTGTTTTTCTAATTTTTAGTTAGTCTTATACATATTTTTTTTTTATTTTTATTCCATGACACATGTTACGATCTTCATACTTCCAGAATTTTTTTTTTCTAAAACACATGTCGCAATTTTGTCAGTTATAAAAATCCTATGTATCGCAAAACTTTCAAAAACATGATTTTTAAATTGGAGAAATAGAATCAAAGGGATTTGATGAATTTGCTTTGATGAATTTATGATTGAGAAACTTGACTCTCTTTTATAGGGTTCAAGTAACCTATTACATGCAGTTATAGGAAATTTAGTTTACATAACATATTCCATGTACAAATAGGATTTTATTTATTACATTATTTTGATTTTATTATTTGTTTGGATAATATTAATTTGATGAATGAAACCTTTCTCTATTAGGATATGACAAATATATTTTTATTTCTTTTAACTGTAATGGATTTTTTTTTAATTTCCTTTATCTAAATTTTTTATTATTTTATTTTTTTTTTCTCTAAGACATGTGTCACGATCTTAACGGACGTAACATTAAAAGTGACACATGTCGCGATCTTATAAATTATAAAAATCCTATGTGTCGCAACCACGTCGTGCGCATCCAACTTTATATAATAAAAAATTGATGAATGGGAAACCTTTTTCTGTTTGGATATGGCAAATATTATTTTTTCCTTTTTGATATAATAGATTAAATTAAATTTCGTTTTTTTTAATTAACATTTTTCTGGAATTTTTTTTTTAAGTTCTCTTTTTTTCCTAAGACACGTGTCACGATCTTAACGGACATAAACTTAAAAGTGACACATGTCGCGATCCTGAATTTTATAAAAATCCTACGTGTCGCAACCACGTTGCGCATCCAGCTTTATATAATAAGATTTTAGCTCATTAATTCATGATACCAAATACCAGAATAGTGCTTTAATAAGGGATGCAAAAGGAAAATTTAAATGTTTTTCTAAATGAGAAAACCTTAAAACAACAACTAATATAAAAAAATCTTTAAACGATAACTAATATGATCCGAAAGATTCTTCGTATTAAAAAAACACTGCTAAAACAAGTTTTTGTCACATTGAAGTGTACCTAGCGCCACGATTACAACTTCTAACTTGCATGCTTAAGAAGAAGAGGGTTAAAAAAAAAGGATAGATAATTTTTTCCCTGGCTTGATAGGCTCGCATTCACATTAAATGCACCTTCCAAATAACAGAAACCCTTTCGAAGTAATCAAATCTGACTAACTTCATCTTCCCCAACGTGGCCAAGAGCCGTTTCAGTTTTGCGCTTCTTATTCGCACAACTTTGACCATCCAAGTTAATATTTTCACTATCAACGATTCCCGCAAGAACAACACGAAGAACTCCGACGTCATGTCGAGGGTGAAGAATCTCCGTCTCACCTCCAAGAAGTCCCTTAACGTACTCAATAAGTTTACTCTTCACTCCCTCTTTCCGACAGAAGTCAAGAACTGACTGTTCATTACCAATGTTAGATAAATGAAACCTAGAAGCTGGCCAGTACTTGTCTTTGATAGCCAAGGTCTCATCTTCTTCCGTAACCCTAAACGGCTCCAAAGATCTTCTACTCATAACTTCCTTCATCTTCTCGCTGTATTCAGCGAACTGAGCGTTCATGGCTCGGATCATAGACGCTTCGACAAGAGTCCTGCCTCTCTTGGTGGCTCGCCTCTTCAGCTTCTCCCTACGCTGCACCTCCACAACGTCTTTAATACCGGACTCCGTTTTCATCCACCGGGAAACTTCTGCCACGTGACGGAGAGTAATCATCTCGTGGTTTTGAGGACAAAGCCCTAAGGAGTTTGCCTTGGCCAACACGCTATCTCGTACGTCTTTGAAAGGGATCGTGGTGAGGACTCGGACATGTTTAACGAATTGGTTTGGTAAGTAAAAGAGGTTTACCACGCCGGAGACAGTAAAACTGTCGACTTGGATTTGGTTCTCACGTAGCGGCTTCAAACATTCATGAAGCTTTTTGAGTGTATCAGCCTCCGTTTCCACCAAACCAAGCACACCTCCTAAAGTGACTTGTTTCACGATTTGTTGAGCATCATGACTAGAACAAGAATCCATGTGACTAGATAGATTGAAAGAAATAAATCAACGAGAGGGAGTGAATGATTTTGCTTTGTGTGGAGATAAGTAAAGTGACAAACACTATTATTTATACCAATAAAACTTGTTCTTGGAAAAGACTACATTGTTTTCGATATTGTGATAATCAATTAAAAACAAAGAAGAGAACTTTATCACAGTTACCAAGTCGTAACTGATTGGTTTGTAGATTGTAGAGCCGCACGGTATTAATTCGAGTCTTTAAGCACGCTCCCGTTTACCAACGTAAGGAGACGTAAAGGACTGCAACAGTTTTTTTCAATTTTTAATTTATTTTACAGTTACAAATAGCGTGTAAACTTAATAGTTACGATACAATGATATACTTCCTCCGTTTCAAATTAGTTGTCGTTTTGACAAAATGTATCTACAAATATTTGGACGTATCTGGACGTGTTTTGCATTGCAGATACGTCCAAATATTTGCAGGTACATTTTGCCAAAACGACAACTAATTTGAAACAGAGAGAGTAGTAATATACTTTCTGGCATAAGTTCCTTTTATTCTCTCATTTAATTTATTATAAATGTGTTTAAGTTTACGTGAGATGGGCATACATAATATAGTCACCAAAAGTCCCACATAGGATGAAAAGAATATTTCCGTTGTTGTATATATAAGATTCGTTCATAAATATTGTAACGTGGGCTTGTGATCCAAGTGGAGACTATAGGGTTAAGCCCCCTAGGGATGATGGAACGTTTGAATTGATTTCACTTGGATCATATTACAAGTGAGGAGTTGCGCATCGCCTAAGGGCTCGGGGTTGGGTCTCTAGTGGGCCTACTTTGAAGCGAACTTCGCTTACTCTCCTCACTTAACGTTCAAAGGGATTATACTTATCCCTTCCGAGCCCAACTATGATCCAATGAACCGATTTCAATAGAACCACCATCTTTTTACTTATTTTGAAAATTTAAACGAGTGTGGTGTACTGTAAACCAAGCCAGCGTCAATGAAAGCCTCTTGGCATTGACGACGCTTAGAAAGTTAGAAGCTTACTAAACGTTAACGTAATCATAAAACGAGCTTTGGGATAGAGAAGACCATATCATTTAAGTTTTAGCTTAAATTTACACTTTTTATGAAAGCCAACACAAAGATTTCGATTTGGGATAGAGAAGAACATTTCAATTTAATAGGTTTACAATTTCGTTTTTAGTTTGAGTTCGGTTCAATTTAAATACCGAGTTTAACCGAAACCTACCGGTTCGGTTTACATTTTAATTTCCCGCTACAACTGAAATCAGATTTTCCGCCGAACGTAGAAAGATTGATTATTATTCGTAGCTTTGTACGCGAGAAGATCGATACTTTTCTGCGTCTCTCGTTGATTTTGCTTTTTCTTTCCTTGGGCTTTCGATTTAAGGATCTTCTTGAAGAAGGGGTCGATCTGATCTTCACACGAAACTTAACCAGGTAATTTAGATATCATTTCACCGATCAGAAATTGCGAAATTTGATTTAAGGATATATTTTTTTTTCCTGGAAGTTGCGAAATTTGATTGTTGGATCACTAGATTGTTCGATTCTAAAAGTTTTCATCGTTGATTCATGATACTGCAAACCGAGAATCGAAAACAAAATTGGACTTGTGATAGATCACTTAGTGGGATCTTCTTGCAAGTTGCAAACCAAGTGTTCGATTAAATGTCTAAATGAGTCAAGGTTTACCAATTTTGATTGTTCTTCTTAGTTGCATCAAAGCTCTAAGAAATGTTGAAACTTAGAATAAAACCCATCTCTCAAGAATCGTTTTTTTTCTTTCTGTTTTCAGGTTAATCATGAATCCTTATGATTCTACACCTGCTAACTTCGCTCAAGTTGCTGCCAAGATTATCGGGTCGACAAGGGCTAATATTGCCAACGGAGTTCCTCAGTTACTCTCTCAAGAGATGCTTCAAACGCCTCCTTGGGAATCCAGTTAAGTGTTTCTCATTTTCCCTATCTTCTTATCATCATCATCATATGTTATTCATCATCATATGTTATCGTTATAACCTTTTTTTTTGCTTCCTCTCATTGCAGATATGTACAACGTTGAGTTTAGTGATGATCAAAGGGAAGAGTACTCTGAGTGGCTCTTCATTGGATTGTACCCGATACCTGATTCCACGTCGTCGTCTTCGGGTTTCAAGTGGGAAGGAGGGCCTGTGAAGACGATTGGTGAAGTGAGGCACTGCCTTTTCAAGCCTTCTCCTGGAGATGGCGGCAAATGGGAACTCCACCAGTATTCAAGTCCCGAGTTGATGGGGAAAGCCGTTTATTTGATGCATCGCAACAAATAAGTTGATGAAGCTTGCTTGAGAGTTGAGAGTTGAGAGTTAATATTAATGTTATGAATCTTTAGACCTTGTTAAGAGTATGTTACATGGACCTCTATTGTAATCGTTTTAGGATGTTATGTATTTGATCTCTAAGACAATAGATTATTGAATCTTTGCCTGACGCTTGCTTCTTTTCTTTTTAAAAACTATCATCTATTAGCAAGAGCTGGTGAGTTGGATAAAGCAGAGAGACTGATAAAGGGAATGCCTTTTGATCTACTCTGTTTTTCTTGTATCGTGAACAAGAAAGCTACTCTGTTTATATCTTAATTATTATTTAGTTTTGTTTTCCTTTTCAAGAAATGAATTTTCGTTAAGATTAGGATGATGCGTAACACACGAGTGGAGATAAAACAGAGAAGTTGGTGATGGAGAAGGACTCAAGGAGATGTAGAGAGAGTTTTGGAGATTAAGCGCTGATAATATCGCGACGAAGGAATCGATGTGTTTAGGTTACAAGAAGAGCTTAAAAACTGTTGTGCCATTTCTCTCAGCCACATCTTCATCCCTCAGTAAGTGAATCGCTCATCATTCTTTTTTTTCAGTTCTCTTTACAGAACAAGATTCGTAACATTCTAAGTATATTAACTGGTCCTGTTTCTTGTGTTCCAAGGTACCTTCCTACGCCTTTGTACTTTCGGATATGGAAGCTGGATACGGAACTGAAGAGGTCAGTCAAGAAAATCCTAGATAATCGTAGATTCTAGACTGCAATCAAAATCAGACTACGAAGATGATCTTCTAGGAATCATGTTGAAGGGGACAGCAGAACAAGTCCAATCTGTTGTATAAGTATAATAGCTACCTTTTTGTTCCTTTTGGGATGGTATCACCAACAACACAATGATATACTTTCCGGCAAAAGTTCCTTTTATTCTCTCATTTAATTTATGTGTTTAAGTTTACGTGAGATGGCATACATATAATATGGTCACCAAAAGTCCCACATAGGAAAATAAAAATTTCCGTTGTTGTATATATAAGCTTCGTTCATACATATCCACACTAGTAACGTTCTTGTATATATACATATCCATATCCACATATAAGCTTGTATATATAAGCTTCGAGCTCAGTAACGTTCTTGGCTTACTCAGTTACTCTCCCCACTTCTCGGTCAGAGGAATATCCACGGTTTAAACCAGCCTAGTGTTGTTTCTTCCGAGCCCAACTTTATGATTCAATGAACCGATTTCAATCGAACCACCATCTTTTTATACAAAAATAAGTTCAGTTTTTTTGTTAAAATAAATTTAAGTTCAGTTGACCTAACTAACCAATAAAACTTGAATTTTTAAATTGGCCTCTATAGAGAGAATAGACGCTTATCACCTCAAGTTTTTAGTCCTTAGATTATTTTACATACCTTTGTAGCATTGTTTAATTCTGTTGAAAAAAAAATCAATGTTTCTTATATTGAAATGATCTAATTCATTATATTTTAAAATTTAAAGTAGTTAAAATGGAAGAAAAAAGATTCGGTTTAAAAAAAAGAGAGAAAGAGATAAAAGGTCAAATGACAAATATTGTAGAAAATACATTGAATATCAGAGTCAAATTTTTGTTTGGTTACTTTCTTAATTTAGTTAGATAATATGCTATTACCTCTGACTTTCCTAAAGAATTATGTTTGACCAGAAAAGAAAAGAAAAATGAAGAAGATAATTCAAAATCCTTATCAAGGCTCATGATTCACCACGTCGAACTTCTTCCACATCTCATCACTTTCATTAGCTCCTGAAGAAGTTAAAGTGATTTCTGCAACATAACCAACAAAAAATGGCCGACAACAATACGGTGCGTTTTGGGCTTCTCGGATGCATCAGATTCGCGTCGAAATTCGTCAGAACAGTAACTCAGTCCTCTAACGCCGTCATTATCGCAATCAGCGATCCGTCACTCGAAACCGCTAACACCTTCGCTGCCGCCAACAATTTGTCGCCGGAGACCGTCACAGTCTACGGAAGCTACGAAGAGCTACTCGATGATCCACGCGTTGACGCCGTCTACTTGACGATGCCGGTGACACAGCGAGGAAATTGGGCGGTGAAGGCGGCGGAGAAGAAAAAACATCTTCTGGTCGAGAAACCGCCGGCTCAGGACGCGGCGGAGATTGATAGGATCGTGGAGGCCTGCGTATCTAACGGCGTTCAGTTCATGGACGGTACGATTTGGTTGCATCATCAACGGACGGTTAAGATTAGAGAAACGATGTTTGATTCTGGATTGCTCGGAGACGTCCGCCACGTAAGATTTTTGAACTTTTAGTTAAATATTGCAAATTGCTCCATAGAGATGTGTTATTTTCTTAATTGCCCCATATATAAGTTCGAACGTCTCAAATAACCCTTATTTTCTCCAGCTCTTCAATTCAAAAATTTATCATAAGTGAATGGTATTGAAATTTCAATATCGAATTAGCCGAACTGAATCTAATGGTAAAAAATGTCTATATTGAATTATCCGAACCAAATCCGAATTTTGTAAAACTGAACCAAACTAACCAATATTTACTTCAAATTAATAAAATATGTAGATACTTTTAATTTAAATAATAATAATTTATAAATCTAATACTCCCTCCGTTTCATAATAAGTGTCGTTTTGACTCTTGACTTACCAAATGTATTTAGATGTATATGGATGTAGTAAGAGTCAAAACACATCCTGATACATCAATAAATAGTCCAGATTCATTTTGTCAAAACAACACTTATTATGAAACGGAGGGAATACATTTTTGATGACAAAAAAAAATTATAATATAATTTTTTATCATAAAATTGTTTTTATCCAAAACATGGAATCGTTAGCCCAAACGAAACATTGTGTACCAAAGTATCGAAATTAGTATAAGGCACACTACTAAATCAAATTATTTTGATCTTTTTGTTGGTAAAATGTTAGAAACCATTTCATGAATAATGTTTCGAGTATCAAGCGTAAACTATATACCGTTTCACTAATCACTGAAAGTATGTTTATTATATATTTTGCAGATATACAGCACAATGACGACTCCAATACCAGAGCAAGTACTAGAGAGACTGACAAAAGATGCGATGGGTCTAGCCGGAGCCATAGGAGAGCTTGGATGGTACCCTATAGGTGCAGCTCTGTGGGCTATGTCTTACCAAATGCCGATATCTGTTATGGCGCTTCCCTCCTCAGTCGCCACAAACTCGGTTGGGACCATCTTGTCCTGCTCTGCCTCCCTTCAGTTCGGTTCAACGGCAACCGCAATTGTTCACTGCTCCTTTCTCTCTCAACTTTCGACTGACTTGGCTATCTCAGGTTCGTACCATAAAATGTTTTACAAGTTTCTATGCATATTTTAATTTTATCTGATAATGTTTACTTGAAAATTTTAAGTCTTTTGTAGGATTGGCTGAATTGTGTTTGAGATGATATTAATTCAAAAGAATGTTTTAAAAAACTTTGCGCTTTTATCTAAAACATCTAATATTTTGGGACTATTATAAGACAGAGGGAGAACTATTTATTTTTTATTTTTTCAATATTATAGCACCTAGAGAATTAACTTTAAATCCATGATTCAATCTTTGTATCAACATCAATTGTGGAAATGGATGGTCAGGATCAAAAGGGTCGATTCAAATGAATGACTATGTGATCCCTTACAAGGAGGACATAGCTTGGTTCAAGTACACAAGTGGCGCTAAGTTCGTGGACATGCACATTGGTTGGAACATGATACCGGAGAAAGTTACCGTGGACTGCAGCGGAGCCGAGGAGTCGCAGGAGGCCATGATGCTGAGAGCATTTACTAGGCTTGTCCAAGGAATCAACCGTGGCGAATCAGAGGCTGATCGGAGGTGGCCGGAGATCAGTCAGAAGACGCAGTTGGTGGTTGATGCGGTGAAGAAATCTGTTGATATTGGTTGTCAGATTGTTTATCTTTAGAATCGTGTTGACATCTTGTGCTAATTAGATGATGGTATTAATATTAGTATTTGTATCATCGATACTAATACTATCAAGACCTCATTGCTTCAACTCAATTTTTAAAATTTCAATGAATGCTTGCATTGTCACGAAGCCGGTGTAATATATACAGAACGTTGGTCTTTACTTGCTTCCCGTAGTAATCAACCTATGCTTCGTTCTCACCAGCAACACTTGATGTTGTTCTTGCAATAAGTAGTTAAGAGATGATCACTGGCATGTGATTGCACATGTTTTCATCTTTGATAGTAATATTTTCTTCTTGATTTTCTTGATTTATGTTCTTGTGTTGAGTTCTTTTTAAAGGCTAAATGTACTTATAGAGAATTAGAAGATGTGTATATTATAGATTACAATTCCTGAGCATTTTCCGCGGACCCGACGACCCAAACCAGAACCGACTCGGAAAATCGGTTTGGATCGGATTCGGTTATTGAGCAAAACTTTTACCCTACTGAGTCTATTTTATTTGGACCCGTGGGTATTAGGTCGGGTTGGGTTTTTACCCTAAACCCCATGGGTACCCAATTTTTTTTGCAACAAATGCATATATTTACACTTTACCTTCAGGATAAACTAGGGCTCTAATTATTTAAGACTTTAAAAAACTTTGATTGTTACATTTTTATTTTAAAGTATGGCTGTCAAAACTCTGACTTAAGTGAGGCTTTAGAAAATGTTAAAAGCTTTGTTTTTGGACTTTAAAAAAAAAAATCAAACGTATTGTAAAGAAAAAAGAGAAAAAGGGTTGTGAGAACTTGAAGGAGGAAGTTAAATGACTTTGAAGACTAAATCTTTTAAAATCTCCTAAAATCTCACCAAAATCTTTTAAAATCTCCTAAAATCTTTTAAAATCTCTTTAAAACACCTAAAATACAAAATCATTCAAAATCACCTAAAATTCTTAAAATCCCTATTCCAATACACCCTCTAAAAGTGTGGTTGGATAAAATATGGTTTTTAAGACTTTAGAAAATTTTAAAAGTTCCTAAAGCCTTTAAAGCCAAATTGCCAATCACTACCTAAGTCACAGCATCTGTAGATTATTCCTTTATATTACTCCATCCGTTTCATAATAAGTGTCGTTTTGACTCTTGACTTACCTAATGTATCTAGATGTATATGGATGTATTAAGACTCAAAACACATGCAGATACATTAATAAATAGTCCAGATTCATTTTGTCAAACGACACTTATTATGAAACGGAGGGAGTATTATAATAACTAGGGATGACCCGCGCGTGAAATTCTTGTGTTATGTTAATTTTATTGTTTTTCTGAAAATTTAATATATATATTTGTTTATTATTGTTTCAAATATGTCATACATATATTAATTAAATATATTAGGATTAAGCAAAATTTCCATATCATCCCATTTCGTTCTTTTTCATCATGTCCGTTTTTTCCCTTCCCGTTTGTCATGTCTGTCCGTGCAATCCCATCTTATCCCATCATGTTTTTTTCTGTTTCTTTCCGCCCCATCCCTAAATATTATTAGAGATAGGCCAAATACTCGTCTCATTATCTTCCTTTGTGTCCTACGATTCAAGGTGATTCATGTCTCTTCTTGAACTTTATGACCTTGAATCGTCGAACCTTTATGTCCTACGCGGAAGTTTATTCCATTCCAGAAGAAACCTGCGCCGAATTAAGCAAACATGTTTTTGGGTGCTGGAGCGTCATTGTCAGGATCCAGCGCGATCGGAGAAGGATCCATGTTGGTTTGTCTGCTGGATCCAAAACCGAGTCTGTTAAGTATGTTCATGGCAAAATTTGAAGAGTGAGAGAAAAAGGAAAAAGAGGAGGAGAGTGGTGTAGGTGGAGAGGAGGATGCGTCGGCTTATGCTATAGAGATATAAGTAAAGATTTTCCGATTTCCTACCCAAATTTAAATTTTATTTATTTATAGATTTTAGTTGCAAATGTGGGACTAAGTTTTGCGTAATCTTGTGGTTATAGTATAACCAAATTTGTATTAACTTACTAAGTTTTCTAGTGATCTGTAAATTTGTATTATAATATTAAAATATTTTTGTAAACTATATATAAACCAACACAATGCAAATTCGTGTAATTTTAACCTTTTATGTTATAGATGATGGGCCAATACATTTCTTCACTTTCACGGCCCATCCATGATGATGTTTGGTGGGTTTAATTGTGTGTAATGTGAACGTGGGCCTTTCAAGCTCAATCATCTTCTCGGGAAGGATACCTACTCTACTTTATATATAGGTACCCGGTCACCTAATAATACCCACAATTATCATTTTATGATGGGTGAATTAGCTGAATAATACAATTGGCGGATAAAATTAAAGATATAGCCATAAGGGATTCGAAATTAGATAATTGGGTAAATATATGTGTGAATTGATGCCAAAGGGCTCAGCTAAATGGGCGGGAAAAATCTGTGCAACCGGCTGAGAGTGGAAGCGTGATGATGTGGCGACATAGTGAACAATATGCCATGGACCACAAGTATTCTGTTTGCACAGGACAAGATTCGTACCGTACGTTAATACCACATAATTTTACCGAAGAACTAAAACTGTCAAATCTCTATCTTAACCACTAAGATGGTAGTTACATTAAAATAAAATAGTTTAATCCAAAATTTGTGGACCTTATTAGCGCTCATTGGATTTAAAAGGAGCTATACCATATCACAACAATCGGACTGTACTATTAACACTAAACATCTTACCTACCTCCTCTGTATTCTACAGTGTCGACAATGAATAAAGAGGAAGACGGTGGTGTAGTCAATACGGCAACATTAAACTCGGAATCATTAAACTCGCAGGTTAGAAACCATGTCAAATAGATGTCCGATATGTTAAACATGTAAATATAGTATAGTCTACAATGTATATAACTAGTTCATCCAGACAGTACAGATCTATAATATATGTTTTCCATACCATATATTATACTCGTTTTGGGACTGCTTTTAACATTCTCTCTTATTTCCTCAGTTTTCTACACAAGATAAAGCAGATGTAGTCATCGGTACGTGGAACAGAGAGGATAATGGAGGGTGGATCTTCGAGCATGACCCAATGCTTCCACGAAAGACCATACAGCTTCAATCCAACCTCTCTTACACTGCGCTTGTCTCCATTGTCAAAGGAACACTTAATCTGCTAGCCAAAAACATATCAATCAAGCTGGCGTATCAGTACCCACAGTGGATGTCAATCGATGATGGCGATGGATCCACCCCACAGTACATAACGGATGATCACGAAGTGGAGGTTTTTGTCCAGATGCGTCGCCACGTGGAGGAAGTAAACCTATGCGTGACGGTAACACGTCATGTTGGAGCTATGATGCCGAACTCCGATAGGATACGATGTAGTCAGCTTCCTCCAGCCTTGACGGCACCTGAAGATAATGTGATAGGAGCTCAGTCAGACAATGACGGAACAGATGAAGAATGGCATCGGTTTGCAATTTCAGAGACTCCTCTAACCGCACCGCAGGAAACGGCACCTGAAGACGATTCGCAAGTCGTTCCGACAATCGGAGGTGGCAAGACTGTCCCAGGACGGAAGAGAGTCAGGACAAGTGGAATATCTATTCGAGAAATCGAACCTGTTACACGTCTAGCTAAAGCCGCATGTGGACCTCATGATAAAGGAAAGGCAATTGCATCTGATGACGATAGCGAATAAGACAGCGACGATGACGATGCGGTTGTTCCCACTTTGCGTAATCTTTCACAACATCCTTCAAGGAAAGAAGCCACCATGGCCGGTGCGCGTCGACAACTATTCCCAGAAGAGCATGTCGCACCACAGGTACCATCCGGTGACACAAACTCCGGCGAAAGTTCATCTAACACGGGATCTGGTGGTATTA